ACATATTTATTTGTTATTTATTTTAGTTTATTATACAGAGTGTACGATAACCCGGGGAGAAATTTTAATGGGGGATCCTGGAGGCCAAAATAAGACGAAAATCAAGAATATCGATTTGTTGATGGGAGCTTCGTTAAAAAGTTATTAACAATAAAATTAAAAAATTTCAAATCGTTCTGGAGAAATTATTTTCGGTTGCAGGGGTCAATTGTAATAATTTTTGGTCGTCAGACATATCCTCGAAATCCTACCAACTTTTGAGAAAAAAATTCGAGAAAGTGTGAAATTTTTCGACGGAAAAAAAGAATTTCAAATCGTTCTAAAAAAATTATTTTTGGTTGCAGGGGTCAATTGTAATCATTTTTGGTCGTTAGACATATCCTCGAAATTCTACCCACTTTCGAGAAAAAAATTCGAGAAAGTGTGAAATTTTTCGACGGAAAAAAAGAATTTCAAATCGTTCTGGAAAAATTATTTTCGGTTTCAGGGGTCAATTATAATCATTTTTTATCATTAGACATATTCTCGAAATTCTACCCACTTTCGAGAAAAAAATTCGAGAAAGTGTGAAATTTTTCGACGGAAAAAAAAATTTCGAATTCTTCTGGAAAAAATATTTTCGTATGCGGGGGTCAATTACAATCATTTTTGGTCAATACACATACCTTCGAAATCCTACCCATTTCTGAGAAAAAAATTCCTTACCGAAAACCTAATTTGAGGCCTGAAATTCCATGCGAATCTTCAAAGCATCATAACTTCTGAACGAATTGACGGATTTTAATGTTTAAAAAGGCAAACGACGCGTATTTTGATGGAGAATATGTAAGAATTCCAAAAATATTGGAAAAGTTGTTCCTTGACTCTCAAAAATGCGAAAACCCCCAATAAAAATCGACCAATTTCCAAACAGCCATAACTCCTATAATAGTGAATATATTTCATTGAAATTTTGGGGGGAACTAGAGTTCATGGATACCTATAAAAAAGCATTAAACAACTTTTCTGTACAGAGCCAACCTAATTGAATAAAAATGAAAAACTAATATTTATGAAAAATCGACAGTCTGAAATTATTCAACGAAAGAAAAAATTTCAAATCGTTTTGGAAAAATTATTGTTGGTTGCAGGGGTCAATTACAATCATTTTTGGTCAATACACATACCTTCGAAATCCTACCCATTTCTGAGAAAAAAATTCCTTACCGAAAACCTAATTTGGGGCCTGAAATTCCATGCGAATCTTCGAAGCATCATAACTTCTGAACGAATTGAAGGATTTTAATGTTTCACCATTCAAACAACGCGTATTTTGATGGAGAATCTATAGAAATCGCAAAAATATTCGAAAAGTTGATCCTTGACAGTGCAAAATGGGAGAAACCAAGGGACGTAATATTTGGGCACTCGAAAAGACTGAAATCTGTACCAGCACTGCTATGAGGATTGGAAGAGTCATCTCCAGCGCTCTGGGGCTTCCCAAGGAAGTTATTTTTAGGGGGACATCGGTCTCATTACTTAATTCACACACCTGGTGTTATAAAATAACCAGCAAAATGGAGTTAACTTGGTCGATTTATCGTTCGTGTATCGATTAACCCGGTTACTCCTCGATACTGAGGTTATGGTTAGGGTTAGAGTGGCCAGCCTGCAGACGCTGCGACGCTTTCAACCAGTTAACTGTGATCGACGAGTATATTCGTCATGGAGAAATGGCACGATTTTGTGTATCGACGAGTATACTCGTCATGCATATAAAGTAGCGACCATTGGTTATTTAAATTGTAATTTTTGCGAAACACAAAATATATTCTCAAATTTTTTGAGGCCAAGCATTAGTAATAAAAGTGTCAATCTCATAAAATAGACACATCTTTTTCATCCAATATCTTAACAGCAACACTTACTCTGCGATTCACGAGTATACTCGTCATCGCTCGATTTTGGCGACACATAGGGGGCGCCACTGCTGACTGGTTAAGTCGTCTCGCTGGTAGAACTGGAAAAGGAGACGTGGCAAAAAGCAAAGAGCCAGCGAAAGGGAACCTCGAGGAGAAAAACGGTCGTTACCGCGACTTTGCAAATCGTTCGCACGAGCAAGTGTTACGCGATGCGATAACGGGCTGATATAATAGAGCTTCTCGCTTTCTGCCAACGGAAATCGAGCACACCGGAAAGATTTTGAATTGTAGATTTCGGAGAACCCAGCAAGATCAACATTGTTTATTATCAGCGCGACGAATTATGTGTTTCGCGTGCTATTAATTAGAAATTCCTCGACGATGAATGTGTGCACCAGGCCCCGGTAATTTTCTTTCTCCACGAAGACTTTACGATCGTATTTTTCTAAGCAAAGTAACGCATTAGCCTGATGCTTTTTCGAGGTTGTAAATTTTTCTGGAACCCTTCGTAGCCTCGTTCGCTGTGCTCTGTAATCTGAACAGAGCTCGTTCGACTTCGTGGAAGATAACTGTTCCAAGCAGTCTTGTTCTGTATCACGTTTTAGCTGACCGTTGTTATTTACAGATAGCTCATCGACTCGTGTTTCAAATGTCGAAAGTGAAACGCGATATTGCTTCGGTTCGATTAGATTTTCCTGCTGGAAATTAATTAATCTATTCCAGAGAATGAATTTTGGGGCGAATTAATACTTCGTTTCTTTTTATATTTATAATATGGTGTGTGCAGAGATAAGACAATGGAAACACTCCCCTAAACACTACTGTTTCGTTAAAAAAATTCATATAAACATATTAGTATTAGAAATATATATCTACCTTAACGCATTTTGTGTTGGCTGAGTAGTTTAAAAACAAATATAATACATAATTTTGTATTTTAATAAAGGATCGATTTTTCATATTAAAAAAAAAAATGGTAAAAATGGTAAAAATTGTAAAAATGGCAAAAATGGTAAAAATGACAAAAATGGTAAAAATGGCAAAACTGGTAAAAATGGCAAAAATGGTAACAATGGTAGAAATGGTAGAAATGGCAAAAATGGTAAAAATGTTAAAAATGGTAAAAATGGTAAAAATGGTAAAAATGGTAAAAATGGTAACAATGGTAACAATGGTAGAAATGGTAGAAATGGCAAAAATGGTAAAAATGGTAAAAATGGTAAAAATGGTAAAAATGGTAAAAATGGCAAAAATGGTAAAAATAGTAAAAATGGCAAAAATGGTAACAATGGTAGAAATGGTAAAAATGGTAAAAATGGTAGAAATGGTAGAAATGGTAAAAATGGTAAAAATGGCAAAAATGGTAAAAACATCAGATTTTGACAATTTTAATGAGGGCAATTTGAAACATTGGAAATATTTAATACACAACTTTCACCAAATGAATTAAAAATGGCAAAAATGGTAAAAATGGTAAAAATGGCAAAAATGGCAAAAATGGCAAAAATGGTAAAAATAGTAAAAATGGCAAAAATGGTAACAATGGTAGAAATGGCAAAAATGGCAAAAATGGTAAAAATGGTAAAAACATAAGATTTTGACAATTTTAATGAGGGCAATTTGAAACATTGGAAATATTTAATACACAACTTTCACCAAATGAATTAAAGAATTTAAAAAATGAATTTTTGAAGCTTGACCACCTTTTTGATACCTCGATTTTTGTAAAATTACCAAACGTCTCGTAATTTTCGTGATTTAAATAGATTTCGTGAGAAAAAGCAGATTATATAAACTATATACAAAGTTTACACGATCCACGGTTTGTTTCAACTCGATGCTCCGATTATCCCGCAAGATTGCTTAAAAATGTGGGTTTGCTTGTTGCTTTAACGCGTTCATTGATCTCTTTAAACGGTGGAAAATGTTCGAGGATATATCTCACGTGTCGTCCTTGGTTCGTAAAACTACACACGAGGCTTCTATTCTATCGATAAATCGAAACATTGGCACACGAACCGCAACTATACTCCGAAAACGATAACAGCCACTTCCTGAATGGAATTTCTCGCTGTTTAATTATTCCCGCTGGACAATGTTATCTTATCGAAGCTATCGAGCGTTCGTAAGAACGATTATCGACCTGAATATCGATTCAACTGTAGGTTAAAGGTGTAAAAACATGAATATAACTTGTATCGATAACAATAATCAAATCGTATTTCATATTTCATATTTCTATGTATTATTTATCGATAGGTTGTTGGTGTAAAATAAGTAGAAGTGTTTCTCTGTAAAAGCAAAGACTTTTATTAAATTCAACGCAATGCAATATGACTACTTAATGAATCGACATCGAATGTTCCTGGATGTTTGATGCAATATTTTTAAAATTGAATTTCTTGAAAAATTGCATCTGGAACACTTGGATAGCAATGGTAACTGGTCTGAAAGGCATTATTTCCTCGCGTAAAGAGCACGATAGACAAAGTTCAGCGGGGCAGCCTACCGTAATGCGCTTAATTAAAGTTGTTTCAACTCGTTAAGATCGTTCGCACGGGATGAACAACCCTATAAACGGCGACAGTCCGTCGACAAGTGGAACGCCATTTTCCATCGTGAAAACTTCGTTTTCATCCGGAGACATCCTTGCATCCAATTTAAATTTAACCTCAAAAGCCTTATCCTTTGCTCCATTCTTCTAATCAATATCCAGAAATAGATTTAAATTAAATATTAATTTTCTTGGTGCAAACTAATACACCAAATTATAAAAATAAAAACTTGTCCATGCAAATTATTCTGGATCGAATAAATTGTAATGTTTAGTTCGTCTATTGTTCGAATAAAATTTCGAGATTGATCGAGATTGATTGATTGGACAGTAAGCAATGCACAAAATCAATTAAATCGCTTATCATCGTTGCTTTTTAGTCATGAAACGTGTGTTTAAAGTCAGAATGGGTACACCTGTCCCCGAAATTAACAGAGCGGACGGTTTTCTTTTGCGAACTAAATTACAACGTGACGGGGGCGCCCCCTACGTGATGCGTGCAATTAATTTCAGGCCTCTTTACATCTGTTTTTCCTTTTGTTCAGGCATGGCGACCGCCGGTCTTGAGGTGCGCGAGGCAGGACGAGCGTTGCGTGTACAAACGGAAGCTCCGCATCTCGTTTCCATGGGAAGCGGACGCTTGTCCACGGCGGTGACACTGCATCCTTTGCCCGAAGGTAAGTGGGGGAAAAAAAGTACGATTGTCGACCATAGTTGCACATAAAACACGCCATAGGAGTAGATAAATAAAGAAAATTCAACGGTCTGGGTTAGGTCTGGATTAGGTTTGTTTTAGGTCTGGGTTAGGTCTGGATTAGATCTGGGTTAGATCTGGGTTAGGTCTGGATTAGATCTGGGTTAGGTCTGGGTTAGGTCTGGGTTAGGTCTGGATTAGGTCTGGATTAGATCTGGGTTAGGTCTGGGTTAGGTCTGGATTAGATCTGGGTTAGGTCTGGGTTAGATCTGGGTTAGGTCTGGGTTAGGTCTGGATTAGATCTGGGTTAGATCTGGGTTAGGTCTGGATTAGATCTGGGTTAGGTCTGGGTTAGGTCTGGATTAGATCTGGATTAGATCTGGGTTAGGTCTGGATTAGGTCTGGGTTAGGTCTGGGTTAGGTCTGGGTTAAATCTATTTAAAACAAAATAAATCTATTCCCTGGGGGAATAAGGTTCTCTATAAATCCAGACCTAACCCAGATCTAACCCAGACCTAACCCAGACCTAACCCAGACTTAATCCAGACCTAACCCAGACCTAACCCAGATCTAACCCAGATCTAATCCAGACCTAACCCAGACCTAACCCAGACTTAATCCAGACCTAACCCAGACCTAACCCAGATCTAATCCAGACCTAACCCAGACCTAACCCAGATCTAACTCAAACCTAACCCAGACCTAACTCAAACCTAACCCAGACCTAACCGAGACCTAACCCAGACCTAACCCAGACCTAACCCAGACCTAATCTAGACCTAATCCAGACCTAACCCAGACCTAATCCAGATCTAATCCAGACCTAACCCAGACCTAACCCAGACCTAACCCAGACCTAACCCAGACCTAACCCAGACCTAACCCAGACCTAATCCAGATCTAATCCAGACCTAAAACAAACCTAATCCAGACCTAACTCCAGACCTAACCCCAGACCTAACCCAGACCTAACCCAAGCCTGTATAAATTTCAAAAAATATAAATTGAATAAATTAATTTATATTTTCAACAATTTCAACGCTGGTGTATTACTTTCAGGCAATAAAGAGCTAAAAGAGAATAATAGGGCGAGAAAAAGGAACGTCGCCTGAAAATACACGTGGCACTTTGAGGATTGACTCACGCAATAATTTATATTGCGCTCTCGCGTTCGTCTTCGTCCCCCTCGATCCATCTTTCTCTTTTCCCTACGTCTTTCTCTTTGTATGCAACCGACTATATTTAAGTGCATCGCTCCACGCTTATGAGACAGAACGTTCCTCGTGGGTTACTGTCCTCTCCTTCCCCTTCGACGAAGTAAACGCCTTTACGCCATTTATATATCGCGCGCAAAGGCGTCATATGCACGTGCACTTCGTGAATGTACGTGAACACGCCTATGCTAGGCACACACGGTGGGCTAACATTTTTTATTTTACACACTTTTCCCCCCTGTTACGCCTTTGTTGTTACGCGATCGCCACGAATCTGATGATAATTGCGCGATTGGTTCGATTAAGTTGCCTGTCTACCTTGTAGGATTTAAAAAATTGAATTTTTATAATTTAAAGAATCAATCGTTTTTTCTCTCTTTCAAATGAAACAAGATAAAGAATATTTATTTCATTATATCAAGTAATAATTGCTTTTGCATTACATATATATATATAATTTGCATCGATTAATTTTGTTTAAAATATTAATTTTTTTCAAATATTTAAGTCTTTGTGTTATTAATTTTCTTTTTAAACTTGAAGGTGATCCACACTTCTGATTAATTTTTCAAAGGAGTAATTTATTTCAGCTGATTTCCCAGAGATGTTCCAAATGCATTAATGCACAATGTGAATTTCCAAGCAGTGAATCTCGACTACCATTAAGGCTTTATCATCCAGAATTACGCGTTCGAATCTCGGATTAAAATTGATGAATCACTACTCCGGCCATGGCTACAACGTTATCTAGGAAGCGTTACTGCCTCAATTTCTTTTGAGATACGAGAGCACGCCAATTGAATATCCCAAGCACACAGTGCTTTCAACAGAATCTATCTGTTGTTTCTTAACACACTTCCTCGTTATCAATTATCGACGTTTTTCGAAACTGGAAAGAATCCGTAAGAATGTATTCCGTGAACAATTTTACTACATTATTGCACATTTATGATTTAAACAACTTCGATACATTGCTTATATTATATTTCTCATACTTGGTAACGAGAATTTGTAAATAAAACTCAAGTTGCTTACTTAATCGTTCAAATTTATTTTGTGGACTTCAAAGTACGCCCCCCCAATCGGAAGCAATGCACATACAGTGCCTAACAAAAGTATTGGAACAATTCTAGAGATATATATCCGCGATAGTGCAATTCTCTCGCGAGAAAGCGCTCGAGAAGCTCCGCCACCTGGCGGCGACATCGCAGTACTGCTACCGGGCGAGGTATCGCGCCGAATACGCGTATACGTTCTCTCACAAAGAACGAGTTTCGGTCACTAATCACGGTTTGACTAATTGTCTCCAATGCAACAACCATTTTGATGGCCAAAGAGGCCGAAAATTGTTGTACTTTGTTGTCATAGATATGGAGTGAGTGATATCTTGTATGAAAGATGAATGTGACACGAACGAATGGTCTAAATAGTTTGTATAGTTTATGATTGAAGACCGTGAAACTGGACACTTGTGAGCGAGCATTGAGAGTGAGACAAATCATAGTTACTGTATCGATTTCTTGTTAACGCTTTTTTACCAACGTTGTACAATTATATTAAACACGTTCCAAACATCCACCCACGAGAAGGACCCCCCTCAAAAAGAAAAAGTTACATTCGAACGCGTAGCAAAGTAGGCGAAGACTTCGTCCCCCCCTCTGTCGCGAGTATATTTCGAACGCTGTGTGGCGGAAGCTTTTCCAAAAAGACCGAAAATGTACCAGAGTGCACGACCGCGCCAAAACTAAATATAACTGCAGTCCTTTGTAGAATGCATCGCGATTTACTCGACTCTCGCTGTTCGGGGCACGCGTGAACCTAATGTTGTTTCGCCCTAATGATCGATCCTCCAACTCTCTCGCAACGAAGGGATCAAACTACTGTTTCAAACTACTATTTCTTAACACTTTACCGACCGATAGCCTATTAATCGACTGTTTTATCGGTCGGTAAGCGTTGGTCGGTAAAACAGTTGATTAATACGCTATCGGTCGGTAAGTGTTGGCCGGTAAAACAGTCGATTAATAGGCTATCGGTCGGTAATGTGTTAAAAAATCGTTGTTTCTTCGTGAAAAGAAGGAGTTATAGCGATCGAAGGTAACGAGTTTCTTGATTTCCCGCGAATCCATCGATTCGTTCGTATAATTTTGCTTGGACTATAAACAAACAAGTTGGCTCGCTCGATCCGCTTGCGCAACAAGGCAAAAGTTATCGGAGGAATTTATTATTAGAACGACTGGGCGTCGGGTCATCCGCGTTCCGAAAATTCCTACAATTCTTTTGGTCCTTTTGGTTTTTCCTCGAACGATTTCAACGTACCATATATAGTTCTGGAGAGAATTAAGTGGACAGATAGGGAAATAAGATATAACTTAAATGGAACCAAAGTATAATAACTATTATGTACTTAACTATTATTTATCCTGGGAGAAATTGCAATTGGGAGATTCTGGAGGCCAAAATAGGACGAAAAGCAAGGATACTAATTTCTTGTTTGAGGCTTCGTTTAAAAGTTATAGAAACTTCTCTGGCCACACGGTATATTTTCGGAAAAGAATTTTTTTCTCGTAAATGCGTAGGAATTCGAAGGTGAGTGTATTCACCAAAATTGATTGTTATCGATCCCTGCAATTGAAAATAATTTTTTTAAAACGATTCGAAATTTTTTTTTTTCGTTGAAAAATTTCACATATTCTAGAATTTTTTTCTAGAAAATGCGCAGGATTTCGGGGGTACGTGTAATGACCAAAAATGATTGTAATTGACCCCCCTAACCGACAATAATTTTTTCAGAATGCTTGGAAATTTTTTAATTTTGTCGAAAAATTTCATATCTTCTTGAATTTTTTTCTAGAAAATGCGTAGGATTTCGGGGGTATATATATCGACCAAAAGTGATTGTAATTGACACCCCTAACCGACAATAATTTTTTCAGAATGCTTTGAAATTTTTTAATTTTTTCGAAAAATTTCATATCTTCTTGAATTTTTTTCTAGAAAATGCGTAGGTTTTCGGGGGTATATATATCGACCAAAAGTGATTGCAATTGACCCCCCTAACCGACAATAATTTTTTCAGAATGCTTTGAAATTTTTTAATTTTGTCGAAAAATTTCATATCTTCTTGAATTTTTTTCTAGAAAATGCGTAGGTTTTCGGGGGTATATATATCGACCAAAAGTGATTGCAATTGACCCCCCTAACCGACAATAATTTTTTCAGAATGCTTTGAAATTTTTTAATTTTGTCGAAAAATTTCATATCTTCTTGAATTTTTTTCTAGAAAATGCGTAGGATTTTGGGGGTATGTCTGTTCACCAAAAAATGCTTATAATTGCTTATAATATTTTTTTTGTTTCAGGTAAGCTAACACTTGGATCGAGTCGAGATGCGGACATTTCTGTGGTTGGTACCGGTGTCGAGACCATTCATTGCTCGATTGAAAACAATAATGGCGTGGTCACTCTTCACCCCATAAATGGAAGCACGGCAGTCGATGGTGTGACGATAAATTCGCCGGTGAGACTCGCTCAAGGTAAGACCTTGACTTAAATTCGAACAACCGTGCACGACCTCTTCAAAAAAGGTGCTTGATTGTTTTAATTCTCCTAAAGGATACTCACTTCGACAATTTTTATACTTTAAATACTTTAATTTAATTTAATTTATGAACTTAAATGAGAAGTTATAATTCCCCGAATTTTTATATATTTTTTTGATGAAAAAAATACTGTGCATGCTTGTAAAATAAATAAATATATCTGAAAAATGTTAGTGCAAAACGATTTTCCTAAAATTAAAAAAAAAATCACAAAGAAGACTGAAAAAATGTGTACGTTGCAAAATTTGACCATCTTCATTAATTTTTTTTAACTGAATGTTACATGTAACGCTGTAATTTATTTTCACTATTTATTTAGGTATCCTTTCAGAATACAAAATAAATTTTTCAATCATTTTTATTGACTTTTCACGTTTTTATCACGTCCACAGTAAACATGTGTTTAAACACTAGTAATTGCAGCTCTCAAGGTTGACTAAATAAAAAAAATTAAAAAAATTTTTATTCTGTAGGTTTCATGTTATCGTCCATAACCAAATTCATTAATTTTTGTTGAAAATTGGCAAAATAGAGACACCTTAAGTTAAAAATTACAAAATTTTATCCTTTCTTCCTCAAATTTTTTAATAAAAACATAGGATATACTAATTATAAAAATGTAATTTTATTATGGGTGAGAGCCATCACTATGCGGAGCTAGGTGCCAAAATTTCATAGCAATCGAACGCATAGTTTTTGAGATTTCACCTACGCAAATTAAGAAAGTAGCATTTCTTGAGATTTTCTTGAGATCTCACATCAGACCGATGAGTGACTGAACTTCCAGAGCTCCTGGGTGTCACCACAAGTAAATCCACACAAAAATCCTAACAACTCTCCTCAATAATCCCAAATCACATGGTGCAACAAAGGATTGAAAGGAATTTCTACAATAGAAACTTATCTCCTGATGTCACAATTGAATCCGTCGTTCCAGGTTGCATGCTGTCGATAGGAAGGTCGAACTACATGCGTTTCAACCACCCAGCCGAGGCGAAGCACCTTCGATCGGTTCTTCCTCACTCGAGGATCTCAATGGCGCCCATAAGTTTCACTCTGCCGGAGAACCAGCTGCAGGAGAACTACCATCTGGAGAGAAAGCCTCCAGTTGCACCGCGAAAATCGCCTAGGAACTCCTGCTCGGACGACGAGATCGGTTTCCTGGGGAAGCTGACCAAGTTCGAGATGCTGGCGAAGCAGAACAGGAACAACTGCGTCTCACCAAAAGTCTTTCCAGTTGGAGCTGTCACCACGAACGTTCCCGCCGACCAGATCCTCGGCCACTCCAGGTCCTCCAGCTTGGTCTCCCTGAAGAACAACAACTCACCGCTGCAGAATCTGACGAACTTGGATCGAAGTCGTTCGAACACACCGTCGTTCAATTCGTCTGGCCATTTCATGAACGTGTCCTCGCCAGGGAACTGTTTCGCCTCCTCATCCCCGAATCACTGCATCGACGAGAATCGCCAGCGAACGCCCAGTCGCTCAAACACACCGAATCTTCATCAGAACGCCTCGCCGGCTAATCACAATCAAATTCAAATGTACTCCACCGCGGAATCCTATCTGAAGACCTACAAACCGTATTACCGAGAGAATAATGAGAAGAACACTGCCAATCAGGGTGACCTGATGTCCCGGAGCATGACTTGCCAGAGATCTAGCGGTTTGGACGAGCTGAACACTCCGGATTACGACATGAGCCAGAGCCTGATAGTCTCTAAGACCACCACGACCGAGTTCCTCCAGCTGGACAAGTTCAGCTCGAACCCCAACATCTGCAACAGCCCCAGCAACGGGAATTACTGCAGTGGTAGTCTGAGGAACGTGGCTGGTGATCAGAATTTCGGTTCCAATCCGAACATCAAGAGAATACAGCCGCCTAGCCCGGCGTTCAATCGTAATCCGAAGTACAGCGAGCCAAAGAGGAGCATGAGTCGCGTGAAGAGTCCCACGCCCAGCTTGGGGAGCGGTTGCTCGCTGGAGGAGCTGCGCGAAAGGCAGATGGACGCTGAGAACAAGCGCAGGGAGGCGGAGTACAAGAGGAAACAGGCTCAGGAGGATAGGCTGAGGGAACAGGAGATGGAGAGGCAGGAGAAACTGAGACTGGAGGAGATCCTTGCCATGTGTGCCGAGTATGAGAGGCAGAGCACCGTGGAAAAGCCGAGGCAGCCTAACAGGTGAACTTATGCATATAACATGTGGTGCTACGAAGCAGAAGCGTGTGGGATGTTGTATTGGGTTGAGTCCGTAAGCAATTGTCAGTTAATTAACACTTTACCGACCGGTAACGGTCGATAAATCGGCTATCGGTCGGTAAAACAGTTGATTGATAGGCTCTCAGCCGGTAAGCGTCGGTAAAACAGTCGATTAATAGGCTATCGGTCGGTAATGTGTTAATGTAGCTTGGCAGTCGCCATACACCTTGCTGACTTATCCTAGTTTTGGGGTTGTCTTCAAGTTATTTGATAATTCTCCGGTTGTTTGACGTGGATTTTAATTTACTGGGACTTTGGTTTAGTTGGCCAGGTCTCTGGTTTAGGTTTACCTTAAAAACTGATGTCTCCAAGTGATATGTTACCAGATTGGGACTCCCATAATGTTACGTAGCGAATGTGCTGCTTTTCTCTGTTTCAATTGTAGTAAGACCTGATCTGAGCTTGCCAATTGCTATTTCTGAACTGTTCAAGTCTCTAAAATGAGGTGAGCTCGATGGGGAAAATGAATTAGAGGTCATTTGGGATTTCTGAAACAGTTGATCTACTATCTGAACTGGTAATTGCTTGTGACTCAAGCCAATAAAATTGTAGATTGATTCGTGAGCTAATAGAGAGATGACTAGCCTAGAGAGATGATTTGTTGGCTAGGCACTGCAAACTGAACAGCGCAAAAGCAAGGGAATTAGGTCTTTGTGCTATTTAATTCCTAGCAGAACCCCCCACTCTTAAGTTACGCTATATATTAGAGTAAAATTCCGATTATCCGGTATACTAGGACCTGGGGCAATGATGAATAATCAAATATGGCGGATAATTGGACTGTATCTACCTATGAAGTGATAAAAAAGAGGAATATAATCATAGATAGTACACAAGTAGACTTTACATCCAATGTATTTCTTTGGTCCATTATTCTGGGGGCTCTAGAGCTCCATTAATACGCATTGTTTGAATTTTGAGTCATTAAAGTCCTTCAATCCTTCCAAAAGTTACGATTTTTTTAGACACACGGTATATTTTCAGAAAAGAATTTTTATCTCGAAAATGCGTAGGAATTCGGGGGTATGTGTATTCACCAAAAATGATTGCAATTGAGCCCCGCAAACGAAAATAATTTTTCCAGAACGATTCGAAATTTTTCAATTTTATCGGAAAATTTCATACATTCTCGAATTTTTTTCTCGAAAATGCGTACGATTTCGTGAGTATGTATGATGATAAAAAATGACTATAATCGAGCCCTGCAACTGAAAATAATTTTTTTAGAACGATTTGAAATTTTTTAATTTGGCTGAAAAATACCCTCTGGTGATTTTTCTTGAAACTTCGTTTTTCATTTTTAACAAGTTTGTTTGACGCTGCATGGAAATATCGTTTAATACTTTTTTGTAGGTACCCATGAACACTACTTCAGAAAAAAGTTTCATTGAAATGTGTTCACTATTATAGGAGTTATGGCTGTTTGAAAATTGAGTTATTTTTACGGGGTTTTTCTCATTTTACGGGGTCAAGGATCAACTTTTTCAATATTTTTGAAATTTCTACATATTCTCCATTAAAATACGCGTCGTTTGCCTTTTTAAACATTAAAATCCATCCATTCATTCAGAAGTTATGACATTTTAAAGATTCGCATGAAATTTCAGGGAAGCCTTTACACTAGATTTTCGGTAAAGAATTTTTTTCTCGAAAATGCGTAGGATTTCCAGGATATGTGTATTCACCAAAAATGATCGTAATTGACTCCTACAACTAAAAATAATTTTTTTAGAACGATTAGAAATTTTTTAATTTGGCTGAAAAATACCCTCTGGTGATTTTTCTTGAAACTTCGTTTTTCATTTTTAATAAATTTGTTTGACGCTCTACAGGAAAGTTGTCTAATACTTTTTTGTAGGTATTCATGAACACTACTTCCGAAAAAAATTTCAATGAGATACCTTTACTATTGCAGGAGTTATGGTCGTTTGAAAATTGGGCCACTTTTATAGGGTTTTTCTCATTTTTCTGGGGGTCTTTGTGTAGACTTTCATCAGCCATATTTGTATAACACTTTAAATATCCAGGATTAAAGTCTCAAACATTCAAAATGATACAATAATAATACGCTTGTGTTATATCAAACTTGTATACATATATTAAGAAATTAATATTGATTAAAAAGAAACAAATCAAAAACACAAGTTAGATATAAAAACGAAGTATAGCTATATATAGCTTGAACAGTTAAATTAATTAAAATAGATAGCAAAGGGAATCATCTTCTTAGTTTCTTGGACATTAATGGGTAAATCTCTCAGAAACCACGCCCCTAAACAAGAACCTAACCAATGGTGGAAATGAGGTTATGATTTGTCTGAATAACCCAGTCGTGGTTTGCTTAGTGAATAGTTTATTATAAGTATATGTGAATTACAAAGAAAGAATCGCATCGTGGGGATTCCTCGACTCACTAGCCACGCTCTAACTCTCTCGCTCGCCGCCGCGTGGCGCTGCGATCACCCAGAACCGTAACTAGCCGATCCACCACAATGATACTGTAGGATAATCAACTAATATGCCTAAACTAGAATAATAACCAAATGCTAATCGCTCTAGTCTTTTAACCATACAACTCATGCCCCTTCTCGCAACCTCCCACTCTCACACACGATCCAAACCACGGGCATCGTCCACTACGTCCCACTCCCCTACAATACCCCTAGCTTGCAAGTAGCTTGCAAGTCTCATTCTCCAATACCCGTGTTTCCAATTTGAAACATTACAATGAATTCTCGCTATCTTCCAACAGAATAAAAACGAACGGCTCACTTCCACGCGAGAAGAGACTAGGCTACAGTTCTCCTTTCGACAGCCCGAAGAGTCCATCGAAAACGCAGCCTCATTTCTCCTTCGACGGGACGAGACAGTCGAACTCAGCGTCCTACGAGAACGTGTGCGTGCAAAACTCGAAAATAGTCTTCCAAAACGGTAACTCGCCTAGCAATCGTAGGAATCAGACCAGCCAGGTGGAGTACCAAACGATGAACGCGCAGGATCATCCTCAGTCGACCACACCGAACAACAATCAGTCGACGAAGTGGCCAAACGTTCTTGGCAACGGGGACCATAGCTTCTCCGGCTCGATCTCGCAGGCTCGTGTCTCTAGCTACGAGAACGCGACGATCGACAGCTCGTTGTTGAACAACAATGTAGGCAGCTACGCTCAAGCAAACGACTCGAAGGAGACGTCCATGTACGGGACGATCCAGTTGAATGGAACGAGGATCAACTCCCAGCCGAACAACACTCGAACGTACGAGATAGGGAACGTCAGTCTTTACGAGAACGTCGTGGTAAATAATCAGAATCATTCCATGCCAAAGAAGAATGGCCAGCTATCGAACTCGTGCGAGATGATAGAGAACAAGCTGGCGATATCGAACGACGACCTCTTGGAGGCTATCGAGCAGCTCTCTATGCTCTCCAAGTCCAAAGAGATCTGCATGATTCCCAAGAAAAACAATTCTGAGAAGGATAACGCGAAATCGAACGAAGCAAAGGCTGATAAAGAGAGGAAGGAGCTCGAGGAGGAGGACAGGAGGAAGTACATTGAGTTCCTGCAGAACGAGAAGGTCCATATCCTGGGAAACATGGACGCTTTGAAGAGGAGCGTGGCAGATATAGAGATTCAGGAAGAAGAAATCAGCAGAGAGGTTAGTTTCTTTATTACAGCGATGACTTTTGGAGAACAGGTGTGTTCGATCAGCTTTGTGTAGATTGGAGGTTAAGACAAGTCAAATTCAGTTAATAGATCAAAGATAATCGTGGTACAAAGTGTCCCGATGTAACTGGGGGGAAAACTGTATAAACTGTGTCTCTAAAATGGTTAAATACGCAAGAAAATGTTGTGAGAGAAAGCTAAACGACACCGAATGATGCATAAACTAGATACGTCCAAGTATTTGAGAGTACGAGCCAAGTTAAGCTTAGGTTGTATCGTTTAAATCGAATCAATCTTGATTATTCAAATGTAACGCTATCGTTAAGTCGGAATACGTAACCAAGTTTGTTTGAATAATCAAATATGCTTGGATATGATTTCGATAAGCTCACGTAAAGTCAAGAATGCTCACGATTCTAGAATTTTTGCATAAAATAGTTCTTCGAAGAACATTCAATGTTTCTTCGCTGCGCAACTCAAAATCAATCATTATATTCAGTTAACTAGGCTCATGTTTCACATAATTTTCTTCGCAAGAGTCTTGCAAAAAAGTTTTTCTTTTCTACTTTGGAAATTTTACATTAATAAAACTGTTGCAAAACTTGTTTGCAAACGAAGAGATTTGAGGTTATTTTTATTTTTAATCGCGAAATAACTGATACAAGTTGATTCCAAGTTTGTCTTCGAGGTTATGTTTGTTTGCTTTTTTACATTTCGCGTTAAGTCGTCGTGATGCCAGTCCATCGAACGTTTCCAAGTAGAAACGATGCAATTTCCTTGTTTCCTAAAAAAATAATCTTAAAGCATGTAAAACAGGCGTGTAAGAGAAGATAGCTCATTTGTGTCAAAAAAGTTGTCAGAAAAGTGAGGTTATCTGACAAGTTTAAATGTGTGTTTTCGTCTCCAGCTCGAATTAGAGAAGGCGCTGTTGTCAGCGGAGTACGAGTCGGAATCGTTGAAGCTCAGTCAGGACGAGGGTGAAAAGATAAAGATACAAATGCGGATCAACGAGCTGGAGAGACAAATGGCGGAGGACAACACGATGCAAGCGAACTTGCAAGCGGATGCCAAGTTGAGAGTTCAGAGAGCTCAGCAGGTTTGCGGTCGGTTGGAAGAAGAGTTGGCGAACTGCATGGACGAAGCATCGCAGCAAAATATCACTGAGAAACTTGTGGCGCAGCAAGATGTCTTGGAGTCTGAAAGAAAGGCGTTCGAAGACCTGGAGTTCCATCATCTCGAAGAAGAAGCTAGCAAACTGGCGACCAGAGAAGAATTACAAAGGTAAATCACACTGTTTCTTGAAGAAGAATCGTGTCAGTTCGAAATGAAAGTATTTACAGGCTGAATCAATGAGAGATATTATCTAAAATTTTGTTACAAAATGCTCCAATGGATCTTGTTGCATTTGAAAGCCCTCGGGGGAAAATTGGCATCCATTTTGTTCTTATGTTTCGCTTTATAATGAGATATTAAGGTGTACGATGAAAATTACACAAATCAGTAAAATTTTTAATTTGTTATCACTGTCATATAACTATCACTATTGCATGTGAAGTATAGCCTTCATCATCGAGGAAAAATTATAATTTTTTATAGTTTTATTCTTGTTATATACGCCTAAAGTTTTACTTAATCGTTTAACCTACGATACATCAATATCCAATTATTATCTGTGAAATTTTTGTAATATTAATATCTACAATTTTGAAGAAACTTCAGCGTATTCAACGTGTGCAAAATATGGTTTCTAGATACTTGAGCGAGTTGACGACCAAGATAGAAACCAGGAAGGCTAGGTTAGGTCATTTAGAGTCGCAAAGATCTGAGGCTAAGTGCACAGCGACCAAGGATGCGAGAAGTCTGGAGAGACAGAAACTGGCGCATTTGAAGCGGTTGGAAGAAGTCAGTAAACTTCTAATCACAGCGTACAGTGTATACCACGTGGTCCAATAAAATTCAATTTGACAAGAGCTTCCGAATAACAAAAAATAAATCTAAAATCCTCTTTTCCACCTAGAAAGAATTGAGTCGATATCTTCATTGGTTTCTGAGAAAACAACTTGGTAACGTCTTATTTGGACCACATGGTATTTTAGAGTAGTGTTTTCTAATTTATTGATATTTTTGGATTTTTAATTTGTCAGGGACGAAACCGAGTTAGAGCGATAAACGACGAACTGACGAAATTGGCGCAAAATTCACGGGAGAACACCGAGGAGAAACGATCACCGAGCAGGGAGGACTTCGACAGGATCTCCAGGGTCACCACTGACTCGCCAATCGTGAACAATCAGGGCAGCTTGGGAAGGAAGACTATCGAGTCCCTCAAGGAAATTGAGAGAAATCGACAGCTTCATTTAGCAAAACAAGGTAGGTAATACCCTGAGTATTAGGAATTTTAACACATTACCGACCGATAGCCTATTAATCGACTGTTTTACCGGCCAACGCTTACCGACCGATAGCGTATTAATCAACTTCTTTACCGACCAACGCTTACCGGTCGGTAAAGTGTTAAAATGCTTGCGTGGATCCTCTGACCTACGCAAAAGATTAAATAAATCAATGTGCTGGTGGCCATATGGTCTTCCAAACATTTTAGATAGCGAGCTCTATGGTTTAATCTAGCTTTCAAGTTACCTGCCTTCTACCTTCAAAATATATGAAAGCTAATTGCAATTTTCTTGCATATATTGATAAATAAATATAAAAAGATGGGGTATTAATTTAAATTAGAAGAAATTTCTCCCCTTTCTGTGATTTTTATAGGGTTAAGATAGAAGTACGTGTTTGTAATGAAAATTAACACTTTACCGACCGATAAAACAGTTGATTAATAGGCTATCAGTCGGTAAGCGTTGGTCGGTAAAGAAGTTGATTAATACGCTATCGGTCGGTAAGCGTTGGTCGGTAAAACAGTCGATTAATAGGCTATCGGTCGGTAAAGTGTTAAAATAATTGAAATACTGGTCTCTATCTACAATTCCTGTATTGTACAGTAGGTTCTCTGCTTCTTGCACTATTATATTATTATATTATATTATAATTTCATTATTAAAGTTTCTTCAATTGTTCTGGCGCTAATCTTATTGAGAATTTTACCATGTTTGTGTTGCAGGTAGTCAAGTAATTTCGGAAGAGAGACGAAGAGTGGAAGAATTGAAACGAAGGGTGCAAGACGAAGTTAGGTCACAGTGGGAGGAAAGGAAGATGAACTGCACCTCTTTCAACAGTGTCGAATCGGGGGAAGAGTCTTCCAGTTATTCAACGGGACCAACCGAAAGGTGAGCCCACATGTTTTTTGAACATGATTTGAAATTTTTTATTTCATCGAAAAGTTTGTCCGTTTACTGAATTTTTTTTCTCGAAAATGCGTAGGATTTCCAGGGTATGTGTATTCACCAGAAGTGATTGTAATTGACATCTACAACTAAAAATAATTTTTTTTAGAACGATTTGAAATTTTTTAATTTTGTCGAAAAATTTCACACCTTCTCGAATTTTTTTCTAGAAAGTGGGCAGGATTTCGAGGATTTGTCTAATGACCAAAACCGATTGTAATCGACCCCTGCAATTGAAAATAATTTTTTTAGAACGATTTGAAAAATTTTAATTTCACCGAAAAATTTCACACCCTCTCGAATTTTTTTCTCAAAAATGCGTGGGATTTCGGAGGTACGTGTAATGACCAAAAATGATCGTAATTGACTTCTACAACTAGAAATAATTTTTTTAGTACGATTTGAAATTTTTTAATTTGGCTGAAAAACACCCTCTGTTGACTTTTCTTGGAAATTGGTTTTTCATTTTTAAAAAATTTGTTTAATGCTGCACGGAAATATTGTCTAATACTTTTTTGTAGGTACCTATGAACACTGCTTCAGAAAAAAGTTTCATTGAAATGTGTTCACTATTATAGGAGTTATGGCTGTTTGAAAATTGAGTTATTTTTATGGGGTTTTTCTCATTTTTCGGGGGTCAAGGATCAACTTTTTCAATATTTTTGGAATTTCTACATATTCTCCATTAAAATACGCGTCGTTTGCCTTTTTAAACATTAAAATCCATCAATTCATTCAGAAGTTATGACATTTTAAAGATTCGCATGAAATTTCAGGGAAGCCTCACACTACATTTTCGGTAAAGAATTTTTTTCTCGAAAATGCGTAGGATTTCGGGGGTATATATATTGACCAAAAGTGATTGTAATTGACCCCTACAACCGACAATAATTTTTTTAGAACGATTTGAAATTTTTTATTTCATCGAAAAATTTGTCTAATTATTGAATTTTTTTCTCGAAAATGCGTAGGATTTCGGGGATTTATGTATTAACCAAAAATGATCGTAATTGACTTCTAAAACTAGAAATAATTTTTTTAGAATGATTTGAAATTTTTTATTTCATCGAAAAATGTGTCTATTTACTGAATTTTTTTCTCGAAAATGCGTAGGATTTTGGGGGTATATATATTGACCAAAAGTGATCGTAATTGACCCCTACAAACGACAATAATTTTTTTAGAACGATATGAAATTTTTTTTTTCGCCGAAAAATTTCAGCACTCGATTTTTCTTGAAAATGAGTTTTTCATTTTTCATAAGTTTATTTCACGTCCTATAGAAAAGTTGTCGAATACTTTTTTATAGCTGCCCACGAGCTCTACTTCAGAAAAAAGTTTCAACGAGATAGCTTTACTATTGTAGGAGTTATGGTCGTTCGAAAATTGGACCATTTTTCGGGTGTTAAGGAACAGCTTTTCGAATATTTTCAGACTTTCTACATATACTCAAACATGAAACTAGAAAAGAAAACTCGATTTTTCCAACCTTCCACGTTAGAATAGCCCCTGAAGAATAATTTTTCTCATCTCGAGTGTAAAAAGTCTCTCGACGCGTTAAGTGGAACGTGTATTGTGAAACCCAGAGAAGAGTCTCGTCATTGGCACTAGTTGCGTAGACTCCTCTCATTTTATCGGCCAGTTTCGCTGAAACTGGAATCCACAGAGAGTAAAAGGTGTCTCTCGTCTTGGCAGAAGCGAGAAAGTGTCGATCGCAGCGCTCAGCGTCGAGGAAACGTTCGAAATCGTGCGTCCACGATCGGTAGATCGCGTTGATCACGCTGCCCGCCAATAAAACGCTTTTTATCGGCTTCCCTCTTCGTTCGTCTCTCCGTTACACGTCCCATCGTGTAGTAGGGGGGTTGTTATCAGGCGATACGATATCAGTTGCAGCTTGCCCACTTTACGCGACGCCCCAGCGTCGTTGATACGTTGTTTCGCCGATGAAACGGCTCGCTGGAGTCGGGGAAAAGAGCTGACGGAGGATTCGAAGCCGCGATACACGCGATAAGATAACCCCCTGGCTTAGTCGTAAATGCCGTCGTGTGCTGAGGATATCGTCGAAACACCATCACCTGGAAATGCTACCAGCGTAAACACTTGGAACAACGTCTATGGAAACTGAATTATTTGAAATCTCGTCACGCCAGAAGATTCGATGAGATTCACGAACCTCGATGAAGCTTCAAAGCAAAAAGGACAACTTTAGATGGTGATTCTGAGGAAGAAACAAATGAAACGTGGCAAGAGTGATAGTAATCGTAATCGTGGAAGAAAAATATCGATAGTTACATGTTCGATAAGATAAACCTGCGCGAATCGAACTGGGTTTCCTGTTTATCGAAGAACTCTGTGCTGATATCGGAGGAAGAGCAAGTAAAGTGACGATCGATAGGAATGAAGTTTCCATTGCGTTGAACGAGCGGAAACCGTTGGTGCTATTTAAACAGTGTTCCTGGAACCTCGATGCACCGTTTCGATGCAAAGATCGACTCATTTGATAGCTGGAACTCGTAAAAGTGGCGAAGTTTCGATACTTATCGACGGTCGGTAAAACAGATCGCGGCGAAGAATTTCGGTCGAACACGAAAGAAGTAATCGAAGGATGATTGAAAGGGAAGATAACCTATAAATTATGAATTCTATGGAATTTGTTCGACATCGAAATACGTAAACTAGAATCTAATAATTAAGTTGACAATTAAAAATCTTCGATGGAATATTCCAGAAACGTGACACAAGATCTAATAGAGGTGCACCAAAATGGACAACTGATAAATATTAATCGTAGTAAAATAGATAACTGATAAATATTGATCGTAGTAATTATTGAAAAATTCTCTCACCAAATATTTTACTTCGACTAATGAAAGTGCAACATAAAGATATACATAAGTATAAATACAGTGTAATCAGAGTTCTCCGTGGCTGCGTGGCTTAGACGTCTGTCTTTGACTCTTGAGGTCTCGAGTTCGATCCCCCCCGGAACTTAAAAAAAAAAAAAAAAAAAAATAAAAGATTTTTAAGAAACCGGTTCCAAACGTTTAACAGTGAAAGTATATATAAAAAGTGAATAACTGGGAAGCATTATTGTTCATTAACTAATAAATACAGTATAATCGTCGTAATAATTGCAAATTAAATTAAATCAAAAACTACATTTAGATATATATGCATAAATAAGAAAAAGAATTTTTCAACAAACCGATTCCAAACGTTTAACAGTGAAAGTATATATAAAAAGTGAATAACTGGGAAGCTGGGAATTGTTCATTAACTTATAAATACATTATAATCGAGCCCTCCGTGGCTGCGTGACTTAGACACTCGTCTTCGATTCTCGAGGTCTCGAGTTCGATTCCCCAAAAAATTAAAAGAAAAATACAGTAGTATAATCGTCGTAATAATTGCAAATTAATTAAAACAAAAACTACATTTAGATATGTAATGCATAAATAAATCATTCCAAACGTTATAATATAATATAAAAATGGAAGATACAGTTGAAAATATATAATATATAAAGAGTTGAATAACTGTGAAAGCATTATTGTTCATACAATTTTCGAAAAGTGAAAACGAATGCTAGAAATCGATCGCAGAGGCGTACCAACGCTAGAAAAAGAAATATTAGCGAGAAACGCTGTGTGATCGATGCTGAGGAGAAACGAAATGGAAAAATTAGCTTCGAGGACTTATTGAAGAATTTGAAGCATTGCAATGTCACGTGACGAGTGAAAGGGTGGATTGAAGAGACGATAATGCGTGAGAATGAACGCGAGGGAAGTGGGCGCGTCCATTTTGAACGAAATTAGGCTGAAAGGGTGCAATCTGGTCACTTTCCTCACCAGCAATCGCGTTTACGTTGGCAGCAAGGACTGGATCTGCGAGAATTGCTATCGTCCGTTGGAATCACGATCGCGTGCGTGTTGCACACGCTGCTTGTGAGTCTCTATCTATCTAATATTTCTAATTCTGGTAATTTTAATCGAGCTTCTATGTTATAACTCAATTTTTAACAGTTTTTTACGTTAATTTAAATGTTTAAATATGATAATAACAAATATTTCCACATTTCGTCATCTTCAAAATTTGCTATTATTACTACGACTCAGAGTAATATCAATAATTTAATTTTTTTTTACTGATTTTATTGTTTCGTTTCACTTTTTATATGAATTTTATAATGTTACTTTCTCGAATTTTTTTCTCGAAAATGCGTAGGATTTTGGGGGTATCTATAATGACCAAAAATGACTATAATCGAACCCTGCAACCGACAATAATTTTTCCAGAACGATTCGAAATTTTTTATTTTTGCCGAATAATTTAGGCATTTTCCTGATTTTTTTTCTCGAAAATGCGTAGGATTTTGGGGGTATGTATAATGACAAAAATTGACTATAATCGAACCCTGCAACCGACAATAATTTTTTTGGAACGATTTGAAGTTTTTTTTTCCCCCCGAAAAATTTCAGCACCTTCTCGAATTTTTTTCTAGAAAATGCGTAGGATTTTGGGGGTATGTCTATTCACCGAAAATGATAACAATGGACCCCCATAACTAAAAATATTTTTTCTAGAAAGATTTGAAATTTTTTTTTATTTATGCACCCTACCCCCTTGTCGATTTTTCTTAAAAATTCGTTTTTCATTTTTAACAAATTTGTTCGACGTCCTACGGAAATTTTGTTTAGTACTTTTTTGTAGGTACCTATGAGCTCTACTTCAGAAAAAAAGTTTCATTGAAATATATTCGCTATTGTAGAAGTTATGGCTATTTGAAAATTGGATCTTTCTTATGGAGTTTTTCTCATTTTTCGGAGCGAAGGAATAAGTTTTCGAATATTTTTGGAATTTCTACATATTCTCCGCTAAAATACGCGTTGTTTGCCGTTTCAAACATTAAAATCGGTCGATTCGTTCAGAAGTTATGACGTTTTAAAGATTCGCATGAAATTTCGGGGTAACATTTCTGGGCCAGAATTTATATTTTTGGTAGGGAATTTTTTTCTCAAAAACGCGTAGGAATTCGGGGGTATGCTTATTGACCAAAAATGATTGTAATCGACTCCTGTAACTGAAAATAATTTTTTCCGAACGATTCGAAATTTTTGAATTTCGTCGAAAAATTTCATACCTTCCCGAATTTTTTTCTAGGAAATGGGTAGGATTTTAGGCGTATGCTTATTGACCAAAAATGATTGTAATTGACTCCTGTAACTGAAAATAATTTTTTCCGAACGATTTGAAATTTTCGAATTTCGTCGAAAAATTTCATACATTCTCGAATTTTTTTCTCGAAAATGCGTACGATTTCGTGAATATGTATAATGACAAAAAATGACTATATTCAAGCCCTGTGACTGAAAATAATTTTTCCAAAAAGATTCGAAATTTTTTTTCCCCCCCGAAATTTTCACACCTTTTCGAATTTTTTTCTCGAAAATGAGTAGGATTTCGAGGATATGTCTAATAATAAAAATTGATTATAACTGACCCCTGCAACCAAAAATAATTTTTTTAGAACGATTCAAAATTTTTAAATTTCGTCGAAAAATTTCATACATTCTCGAATTTTTTTCTCGAAAATGCGTACGATTCCGTGAATATGTATAATGACCAAAAATGACTATAATAGAGCCCTGCGACTGAAAATAATTTTTCCAGAACGATTCGAAATTTCTTAATTTTGTCAAAAAATTTCATACATTCTCGAATTTTTTTCTCAAAAACACGTACGATTTCGTGAATATGTATAATGACAAAAAATGACTATAATAGAGCCCTGCAACCGAAAATAATTTTTCCAAAAAGATTCGAAATTTTTAAATTTCGTCGAAAAATTTCATACATTCTCGAATTTTTTTCTCGAAAATGCGTACGATTCCGTGATTATGTATAATGACCAAAAATGACTATAATAGAGCCCTGCGACTGAAAATAATTTTTCCAGAACGATTCGAAATTTTTATTTTCGCTGTGAAATTCAAGCATCCGCTGTCGATTTTGCTTAAAGTTTTCGATTTTTAATAAATTCGTTTGACGCTGTACAGAAAAGTTGTCTAATACTTTTTTGTAGGTACCAATGAGCTCTACTCCCTCTAAAAATTTCGATGAGATACCTTTACTATTGTAGGAGTTATGGTCGTTTGAAAATGGGACCATTATTATGGGGGTTTTTCTTATTTTGTTTATCGTTTCTGGTGCCCCGTTCGCGTCTTATCCGCGTTCCCCCGTGGCGCGGGGGCGGGGCACGTCTCTTCCTTCCACCTCCCAACAATGACCGCATCTCCACGGGCCTCCTCGGTGCAAAAAGAGCACCTGGAGCGAACCTGGAAAAGATGACCCCGTTCTTGGGGGTCAAGGACAACGTTGCCATAGCAACGGGATCGGAAAGAGTGTCGTCGGTCTGTACGTTGAACATTGTAGAAGAATTAAATACCACGCTGGTGGCACCGTCGAACCGGTCGACCGACTCACTTTGTACTTGTTAGGTTTTAATAATACCTGGCCGCGGCTATGGCCTCGCCGTTAGTGCCGATCCTCGCTGCCTAGAAGTGCCTTCTGGCGACCGTTTTTTCCGCCAAACGGGCAAAGTTCACCGGTACGAAGTGCACGAAACGAGTGGGTTACGTAAAACTGACAAGTTCGGTGTATTAGAAGCCAAAGATCGTGGAGAACGATCGTGGATCGCGTCGAACAGAGTTCCAAGCTAGCATCGTTCGGTTGTTTGCATTGATTTTGCTGTGGAAGCTACGAATATCGTCCCCCGGGGTCAGAATTTTGATTTTTTAACCCGTGAAAGTGAAATTTTCCACTGCAATAGCTGAGCAAAACAGCAGTTGCTTTGATAAGCTTTCTTGACTATCAAAATCGTGGTAGTATCATCCTGGATAACTGTAAATTATATATTAGGTTTATCAACACTTGCCTGTGTAAACTGTAATTACATTTTGAAACGTTGATAAATGTTTTAAAACCTAATCTTCCTATTAAAAATTGTGTTGTGTTGCTAGTGAATAATTTGGCTCAAAAAGAGTACAGAAATACACGTCTTTGCAATAGTAAAATGTTACTTTTTACCGGTATCGGTCGGTAAGCGTTTGTCGGTAAAACAGTTAATTAATACGCTATCGGTCGGTAAGTGTTGGCCGGTAAAACAGTCGATTGATAGGCTATCCGGTCGGTAATGTGTTAACAACTTTGAATTTTGGTATGAAATTTTATAAAATTTTATAAATCGACTTTAAGGTTTCTTAACTTTGTTGACACTTTGAATTTTGGGGTACAATTTTATAAAATTTTGTGTTTCGATTAAAGGTGTTGCACTTTCAGTGGCAGCGGAAGCAGCGACGGTGCAGAGGGCGCAAACAGCGAGAAATTGTCACCTAGCAAGCTTTCTGAGCTCACGTCATCCAGTCCAGGACCTTCGAATAATTCCTACAGTTTGCTCCAAAATGATAACGTGAGTACATCACGAGTTTCTCAATTTTTTAACTGGAAAAATGAATATCTGATCCTGAGGTATCAGAAGAACATTTTCGAGTCTCGAACTTCGAGATAAAAATAGTTAAAATTGCGGAAATTAATTAAATATTGTTAGATACAGTAACAGAAATAATACGTGCATTATGTGTTATTTTTTATTTTTTATTTTCTAGTTTCTGAAATAATTTTAAAAAAATACGAATTGGAGAATATCTGATCTTTTAACACTTTACCGACCGGTAAGCGTTGGTCGGTAAAACAGTTGATTGATAGGCTATCGGTCGGTATGCGTTGGCCGGTAAAACAGTCGATTAATAGGCTATCGGTCGGTAAAGTGTTAACATCATCGATACTTTAAAAAATGTACAAATAAAATTGTGCATTGTTAGCTCAAAAAGTCGATGGAATCGATAATAATTGAACGAGATTAAGCTTCTTATCGATTCAACAGTGATTGTCACTAACAACTTCGAGTTCAAATACTTTATCGCTGAAAAGCAAACAAAAGTCAGTCACTATATTTATCTGATGCTAACTGTGGCTTCGATAAAAGTTCAACGGTTAGTCATTCGATCGAGAACCTATCCTTACAGTTCGATTCAATTCAAATTTGATTTTAAGACCCAATCGATAGATAGAAACAAAATAAAATGATAAATATTTAAAAAATAAATTGCAGAATAAAAGAATACATATACAGGGTGTTCGACCACACCTAGAAAAAATTTTAATGGATTCTACAGACCAAAATAGATCGAAGATCAAGAATACCAATTTGTTGATGAAGACTTCGTTAAAAAGTTATTAATTTTTAAAGTTCTGCTCATATTGAATTTTTTTTCTCCAAAACGCGTAGGATTTCGGGGATATGTCTATTGACCAAAAATGATTGTAATCGACCCCTGCAATTGCAAATAATTTTTTTAGAACGATTTGAAAAATTTTAATTTTGTCGAAAAATTTCAATCTTTCTTGAATTTTTTTCTAGAAAATAGATAGGATTTCGAGGGTATGTCTAATGATAAAAAATGTTTGTAATTTATCCCTGTAACTATATATAATTTTTTTAGAACGATTTGAAAAATTTTAATTTCACCGAAAAATTTCACCCATTCTCGAATTTTTTTCTAAAAAATGCGTAGGATTTCGGGGGTACCTGTAATGACCAAATATGATTGTAATCGACCCCTGCAATCGAAAATAATTTTTTTAGAACGATTTGAAAAATTTTAATTTTGTCGAAAAATTTCAATCTTTCTTGAATTTTTTTCTAGAAAATAGATAGGATTTCGAGGGTATGTCTAATGATAAAAAATGTTTGTAATTTATCCCTGTAACTATATATAATTTTTTTAGAACGATTTGAAAAATTTTAATTTCACCGAAAAATTTCACACCTTCTCGAATTTTTTTCTCAAAAATGCGTAGGAATTCGGGGGTACCTGTAATGATAAAAAATGATTGTAATTGACCCCTGCAATTGAAAATAATTTTATTAGAACGATTTGAAAAATTTTAATTTTGTTGAAAAATTTCAAACATTCTCGAATTTTTTTCTCGAAAATGCGTAGGATTTCGAGGGTGTGTCTATTGACCAAAACTGATTGTAATTGACCCCTGCAATTGAAAATAATTTTTTTAGAACGATTTGAAAAATTTTAATTTCACCGAAAAATTTCACCCATTCTCGAATTTTTTTCTAAAAAATGCGTAGGATTTCGGGGGTACCTGTAATGACCAAAATTGATTGTAATTGACCCCTGCAATTGAAAATAATTTTTTTAGAACGATTTGGAAAATTTTAATTTTCTTGAAAAATTTCAAACCTTCTCGAATTTTTTTCTCGAAAACACGCACGATTTCGAGAGTGTGTCTATTCACCAAAAATGATTGTAATTGACCCTCGAAACCAAAAATAATTTTTCCAGAACGATTTCAGATTTTTCAATTTTTTTGAAAATTTCACACATTCTCGAATTTTTTTCTCAAAAATGCGTAGGAATTCGGGGGTACCTGTAACGACCAAATGTGATTGTAATTGACCCCTGCAATTGAAAATAATTTTTTTAGAACGATTTGAAAAATTTTAATTTTGTTGAAAAATTTCACACCTTCTCGAATTTTTTTCTCAAAAATGCGTAGGAATTCGGGGGTACCTGTAACGACCAAATATGATTGTAATTGAGCCCTGCAATTGAAAATAATTTTTTTAGAACGATTTGAAAAATTTTAATTTTGTCGAAAAATCGCTTATATTACAATGAACATAACTTCCAAACTGAAGCTTTCTCGCCATAAGTGGCTTAGTACTTTTACATAGGAAACGACGAATTGCATCGAACGATGTATCAAAAACTATATGATTCCATTCAAGAAAATATTTCCTCAAAGAAAATACATACGGTGACCGTATCGAAAGGCGTGAATTATCCACAAGCATCGATCCACTGCATTCTTCAGTGACGGCTGGCAGTAAATGTTTTTCAGTTACGCATCGAGGGCATAAATAGGCGAGGTGGTTCTTTTTCGACTGTAGGAAAAAATAGCTCGTCCGCGCTTTGCACGCTTCGTTGTTTCTTCGCGGATTTCCTTTATAGGGAAAACTGCATTTGTTATTAAATTTATTTATAGACAGGGAAAACCATGGTACAGGGATTCCCCTGTGTAAATATTACAAAAATCCATCGTGATCGTCCACCACCACGTGGTCTTCTCTCAAACCAATATTCTGCTTATATAGAATAATCTTTAATCGAATAACAATATCCCTTTTGTTTAAAATTGTTCAAATTTGCTGTTAAATGTTTAGAAATCATATTCAATGCTGGTACAAAATTATGTGGGCAATTTGGTCAAAGAATTAATTTGCAATTGTATAAATGTAAAGGTTATGATAGAATGATAGTTATAAATAGAAGAGGACAATAAATTGTAATCTAAAAAATGACTGTTCCGTCCTGGTGATACATTAGAAATTCTGTACGAAATGAATTATATGATTGACACCCTTCTGGTGTTGTTCGAATCCGTCTTCGTCTCATTAAGAGGCATAAATGCCTCTTAAAAGGCCATGATGCCGGATGAAATCATTGAATCCGTTAAGTACAGTGGTCGCCGGCCGTAATTACTGAAATTATACTAAGCGAATGCTCCGTACAATCGAAAGTGACGAATAAATTGATACGTGTCCGATGGACTTTCATCTTTTGCTAATTTCTCGAACATAACCTGCATTTGATACTGATGATTCTTTGTTCTTATTCCTTAACACTTTACCGACCGATAAAACAGTTGATTAATCGGCTATCGGTCGGTAAACGTCGGTAAAACAGTTGATTGATACGCTATCGGTCGGTAAAACAGTCGATTAATAGGCTATCGGTCGGTAATGTGTTAACATATGTGATTTCTTAAAACACTTTCGATCCCATTAGTGACAACATAAAGTAATTAAAATTGAAAATAGAATAATAACATTAAAAATATAGTGTGTTATTTTCAATAAAATTTTTAATATGTTAAGATTAGCGATTATTGGTGAATATTTTTTTAAACGTATGTATAATTGATTCCATGCATTTAAAATTTACTTTAAAATTCTATTTTTGCAATGCGATTAGAATTATTGATTTTATTTAGATTTTATTGCTTAGAAATATAATGTTTTCTTCTGCAATTGGTTTCGTTTGAATGAAAAATTGAGATCTTAAAATCCTCCATATTTCATTACAATATTTAGATTATATTTAGTTTATATTTACGTATTAGTGGGACACAAATTTGTTAAAAAATCGAAAGATTCGAGTGAAAATTCTTCTCCCAATTTACACTTGCGTATATAAATCTAGATCTCTCGTTTTTATTGCTGGAAGCATTGCACGCTGGTGACGCACGTTTGCAGAAGCGATCACCGTCTCCCGTGTCTACCGTTTTGTTAAACAAACTTATGGTCGACACGTTCGATGCATGGACAATTTTACTCATGAATGAGTCCACCGATTCCCCTGCGCAGAAAGACGTGTCGTCGGCGACGAATCGAAGTAGGAGGGACGCGTTTTAACCCGCGAATAACACCGATCAACGTTCAGTCGTTCGTCCAGTTTTGCCAAAGAGAGGTCCAGCACCTCACTGAAGTGTTTTCAAATCGAATCGAGCCATTTTACAGCGTCAAAAGATCATTTAACATCGAATAATTACCATTTAATAGCGAAGAAATTCTCTTTTTTCGGTTGTACTTTTGTCGTAACTCTTTTACTTGCTGGTTCCCTTTGTTTGAACGTAGTTGCATTGAGAATGTCTCTTATGTGGATTAGTTACATGAAGAACAGAACTAAGAAGCACGTTCGTAGACGACGCGTAAGTTACAGAATTTTTCTCTATTTTTTTTTCTCCATTTTTTTCTTTGTTTTCTTGTGTGTGCTCGAGGATTCGTTCTTTACCCCCGGGGGCCATCTTTGTCTCGTTACGAATCGATCTTGAAACGTTTAAATTTACGAACGATTTACTTGTTTGCTTAATATTTTCAACGCGACACGGGGAAACAAAGAATCGAACCGCGCAGACGATTTATGAGACGCATAGCGTATTTCGATATCTAAAAATAATAATAGACCTGTAAAATTGGAGGATTTTGTGTTTTTACGTCGTCCATAAAACCGTTCGATCTTTGTGGAATTTTTATCTGCTATAGAATTATTCTTAACACTTTACCGACCGGTAGCGGTTGATTAATCGTCTATCGGTCGGTAAGCGTTGGTCGGTAAAACAGTTGATTAATAGGCTATCGGTCGGTAAGTCGTTGGCCGGTAAAACAGTCGATTAATATCGGTCGGTAATGTGTTAAGGTAATTGTTGAGGATGTTTATGCGTTTATGGGGTATTTTAATTCTCGACAAACTGCAAATTACACTCAATATTGCGAATATAGGAGAAATACTTAAAATAAGATTCGAATTATTATATTTAGGGGGTTGAAACGATCCTCTATGAAGCTTCCATTTCATTAAATCTGTTAACAAAAGTAAAATCGGGGGATTTTGTGTTTTTACGTCGTCCATAAAACCGTTCGATCTTTGTGGAATTCTTGAGGATGTTTACGCGTTTATTGGGGGAATTTTAATTCTCGAAAAACTGGAAATTACACTCAATATTGCAAATACAGGAGAAATACTTAAAATAAGATTCGAATTATTATATTTAGGGGGTTGAAACGATCCTCTATGAAGCTTCCATTTCATTAAATCTGTTAACAAAAGTAAAATCGGGGGATTTTGTGTTTTTACGTCGTCCATAAAACCGTTCGATCTTTGTGGAATTTTTATCTGCTATAGAATTATTCTTAACACTTTACCGACCGGTAGCGGTTGATTAATCGTCTATCGGTCGGTAAGCGTTGGTCGGTAAAACAGTTGATTAATAGGCTATCGGTCGGTAAGTCGTTGGCCGGTAAAACAGTCGATTAATATCGGTCGGTAATGTGTTAAGGTAATTGTTGAGGATGTTTATGCGTTTATGGGGTATTTTAATTCTCGAAAAACTGCAAATTACACTCAATATTGCGAATATAGGAGAAATACTTAAAATAAGATTCGAATTATTATATTTAGGGGGTTGAAACGATCCTCTATGAAGCTTCCATTTCATTAAATCTGTTAACAAAAGTAAAATCGGGGGATTTTGTGTTTTTACGTCGTCCATAAAACCGTTCGATCTTTGTGGAATTCTTGAGGATGTTTACGCGTTTATTGGGGGAATTTTAATTCTCGAAAAACTGCAAATTACACTTAATATTGCGAATATAGGAGAAATACTTAAAATAAGATTCGAATTATTATATTTAGGGGGTTGAAACGATCCTCTATGAAGCTTCCATTTCATTAAATCTGTTAACAAAAGTAAAATCGGGGGATTTTGTGTTTTTACGTCGTCCATAAAACCGTTCGATCTTTGTGGAATTTTTATCTGCTATAGAATTATTCTTAACACTTTACCGACCGGTAGCGGTTGATTAATCGTCTATCGGTCGGTAAGCGTTGGTCGGTAAAACAGTTGATTAATAGGCTATCGGTCGGTAAGTCGTTGGCCGGTAAAACAGTCGATTAATATCGGTCGGTAATGTGTTAAGGTAATTGTTGAGGATGTTTATGCGTTTATGGGGTATTTTAATTCTCGAAAAACTGCAAATTACACTCAATATTGCGAATATAGGAGAAATACTTCAAATAAGATTCGAATTATTATATTTAGGGGGTTGAAACGATCCTCTATGAACAATCCTCTTCCATTTCATTAAATCTATTAACAAAAGTATGAATTTTAAAATTAGTCTTGATTCTGAAAAATATAAGTAAAAGATACTTTTTACATGCATGTGTTTTCTTGTATTTTTCAAAATCATTCAAAAGATTAAATTCATTCAGAAGATTTATTAACATTTTAACTCTTTAATCTTATCGATTTTTTTTAAAAATATGTTTCATTTCATACTTCCTTGTATGTATTTTTGAAAATTGTATTTTTGGTACTTAAATTTTGTATTAGAAATATTCAGAACGTTAACATCTACTATTTTAATTCATTTGTTTATTTAACTTGTCTATTAGTGATAAATAAATATTGAACACGTTCTAAATAGTGTGAACGAAAGTTTAGAAACAATTTATCTAAGAAATTTGCATATTTTTCTAAATAATTCGTATGGTAGTTTGGTACAAAGAGCAAAATTGCTACATTTTAGCTCAGATCTGTTGAACTCGTGAATTGAACTCATTAGTAAAGCTTATTTAGCTGATCATGCCTTAGACGTGACACTATTCATCCCCAGAATAATCTATTTAAACTAATTATGCACCAAACGAGTAATTTGGGACTATTTAAACGATTAATCTTTGGAATACCAGACTTTTTTCAACGAAATCTTCTAAATTTCATATCTAAACCTTGTATACATATACAATGTGTATCTTATCTTATAGAAATTTATTTTTATTGTATTTTTATCGATTTGTGCAATGAAGACATTAAATAGAATACAAAAACGTCCAGAGTTGGGGTAAAATAATTCATTTTTTATTCATTGTTATATATTTATACTCTGCCTAAATGAAAAATGAAAGAAAATTAGAGCAAACTCATAATAGGAAAACAGATATTATTTTAATTTAAATGTTGTGAATTGTGTAACTGTTTATAAAGTAAATATTTTGTTTTCAGCAAGACTTATGTACAATACAATTGATTGTAATTAAAATTGAACATTTTTTATTAAATTTTTAATTCAAATTGAACTTAATATTGTACTCCATTTGTGTATACATATAATTACTACTTTCATAACGATATTCGGATTAAAATAAATGGTAAAACAATGTGAACTTAAAGAAATTAGATGATTTAAGAAAATGTAGAATTTAATTATCAGTGACTTGTAAATAGTATTACTTAATATGTTTAATAATATGTTTAATAATATGTTTAAATGTACATTTTTCTATTTAATTGAACCAAACAAGAGTAATTTTGTTCCTTATCATTGAAAATCTTTAAAATTCTCTATTTTTCTTACAAAATTTCTTTCCCTATTACAATTTTAAAAATTCATTTAAAAAAAACTAAAATTAATTATAATAAAATTACTCGATGATAGATACTCCAAATGATTGAAATCAATAAATCTTTTTTAAGATTATAATTTAGATAATACCATTCAATTCTAAGAATTCATTTAAAAAGACTAAAACTAACTATAATAAAATTACTCGATGACAGATACTCCAAACGATTTAAATCTAGTATAAATCAAGTACAAAATTATTTTTTTATAATTCCTTTGAGGTTTGTTTAGAAAATTTTACCGATTTCTGTTTTGTCTAGCTGGTCCAGCCACTTGTTAATTATTTTGTGTATCAATTGATTCGTCGACGTAGAAATAACAGAGTAATATATATATATATATATAATTATAATATAATAAAATGAAAAATACAGAGTTAACGCGTTTATTTTTGTTGCAGATGAGAGACGATCGAAGAACATCGATGGAAGGCGAGAGACTTAGCAATAACAGCGGGGGAATCACCGACGGAAACGGAAGTCGTCCTCTTTCGCAGACCTCCAGCGAAATGGACACGCTTGGACCGCTGCAATCAGTAAAACATCGTGAAAAGGCTAAACTGCAGGTAAATATGCTCAGGTATCCCATATTCAACCCCTTAACCTACAATTTAATTCCAAATAATTTTTCAAACGCATACCAGTCAATTTTGTTTATAAAAATCAAAAGAAAAATGCAGTATTTTAACATTTAAAAAATCTGATTCGAAAAATCATTAATTTTAACATTTAAAAAAATCTCTGATTCGAAAAGTCATTAATTTTAACATTTAAAAAAATCTCTGATTCGAAAAATCATTAATTTTAACAAAAAGGTTCGACAACATATTTGTATTATGCTGTAAAGAAATGAAAAACAAAAAAAAACAGATTTTTCCAAAGTGGTCAGACTCTCGAACACTTATTTCGAGAGTGTCGGAAGTGCGTTCTGAGATTTTACTCCGCGTCCTCGAATATACAAGACAGCCAATCGGTCTATAAAAAATAAAAAAAAGTCGAAGTCACCGCTGCCTGGGCGTTCTTCTACGTTTCTGTGAATTCTGAAACGTTTATTTTTGCGATTAGAGGTTGTAACGGGAGAGCCTTCCATCCGAGAAATTTGTTAAAGTCGACAGCTGTCTATTCTGAGAAGTACCTTAGACGAGAACAGATCGTTTCTCATGTTTTTTTATAGAAACACGAATATAAAGGAGGGAACGATTTGTTTGACCTGGATATCTCGTCGCTTTTCTTTTTATTGTCTACCAGGACTGCTAAAGCTACACTTAAGCGGGTTTTTAACTCTAGAACCTTTAAAAAAAAAACAATTTTTTTAATTAAATTTCATTTCCTGAAAAGATAACGAAGTTTAAAAACTTTCAATTTCAAATGATGCTAAAAAAATTATATTTAGTTAGAGGGGTCAATTGCAAGCATTTTTGGTCATTAGACATACCCTCGAAATCGTACGCATTTTCGAGAAAAAAATTCGAGAATGTATGAAATTTTTCGACGAAATTCAATAATTTCAAATCGTTCTGGAAAAATTATTTTCAGTCGCGGGGCTCTATTATAGTCACTTTTTGTCATTATACGTATACACGAAATCGTACGCATTTTCGAGAAAAAAATTCGAGAATGTATGAAATTTTTCGACGAAATTCAAAAATTTCGAATCGTTCTAAAAAAATTATATTTAGTTAGAGGGGTAAATTACAATCAATTTTTATTATTAGACATATCCTCGAAATCGTACTCATTTTCGAGAAAAAAATTCGAAAAGGTGTGAAAATTTCGGGGAGGGAAAAAAAAATTTCGAATCCTTTTGGAAAAATTATTTTCAGTCGCAGGGCTCGATTATAGTCATTTTTTGTCATTACACATATTCACGAAATCGTACGCATTTTCGAGAAAAAAATTCGGGAATATATAAAATTTTTCGACAAAATTAAAAAATTTCAAATCGTTCTGAAAAAATTATATATAGTTACAGGGGTAAATTACAAGCATTTTTGGTCATTAGACGTACCCCCGAATTCCTACCCAGTTTCTAGAAAAAAATTCGAGAAGATATGAAATTTTTCGGCAAAATTCAAAAATTTCAAATCGTTCTGAAAAAATTATACATAGTTACAGGGGTCAATTACAAGCATTTTTGATCATTAGACATACCCTCGAAATCCTACCCAGTTTCTAGAAAAAAATTCGGGAAGATATGAAATTTTTCGACAAAATTCAAAAATTTCAAATCGTTCTGAAAAAATTATATATAGTTACAGGGGTCAATTACAAGCATTTTTGGTCATTACACATACCCCCGAAATCCTACGCATTTTCGAGAAAAAAATTCAAAATGAGCAGAACTTTAAACGTTAATAATTTTTTAACGAAACGTCCATCAACAAATTAGTATTCTTGATTTTCGTCTGATTTTGGCCTCTAGAATAGTATAGGGTCCGTCTGAAAATGATAGAATCACTCTGAGAAAGAGTAGCTTTAAGAGTTTGATACAAAAAGCACAATTTCGTACTTCTAATATACTAATTCCCTATACAACGAATCTCACTGTACAGTGTCTTCTCCATACACCTCCCATACACGTTCTTTACTATTTCTGTGGAATATGTATCTCCATCGATAGTAATTTCTGATAGATTTTCAACAACGAAGAAACCAGAAATGAAACGCTTAAAACATTCGGTTTAAAATTTTAAGTTTAAGTCGGTAACAGGACCTGTTCAAACGCATCGAATCTATAGGGATGCGTAGGGATAACGGGGAATATCAGTACGACACGTGTTCCTTGTCTCAGAGCTTTATTCCGACTGTCGTCAATTAGTTAGTTCGTTTGTCAGTTAGTTAGCTAGTTTGCAGTTACTTAGATATTTTGCAGTTATTTAGTTAGTGTGCAGCCAGATAGCTTGTTACCAGTTAGTTCTACCGCTCTACACGGCTGCCACGCCAACTCCATCTAGGGACTTTCCCTGGGAGCTAGGGAAATGTCTCTAGTGTCCCCTACAAATCCATGGATTCTATTTTCACGTGACGCATTCCTTGCAGTTGGCTAGTGAAACGCGTGACGAATGACACAAGGCGACATAGTTATCAATTTTAACCGGACAGTTCGTTTCACGGCTAGTAAATTCGATGATTAACTTGTGCAGAGGCCGCTCACGAGATACCTCCCCATCAAGTCGGAGTCCCTGGACCTGAGGCATCACATCGAGACTGCCGGGCACCAGCTACCCCTCATACACGATGTCACGGTCGACACGTACAGTTGCAGCGGTTACCTGTCGAAGATGAGCAAAAAGTTCCACCATTGGAACAAACGGTGGTTCGTCTTCGACCGGAAGAGGAAGACATTGTCGTACTACAACGACAACTCGTCCAGGAAGGCGCGCGGAGTGATCTACTTCCAGGTACACCATAGACTTACTCGTCAACAAAGATAACTGTTTGATTAAAGAAAAGAAACATTTATATTTCAATCACGAACTTAATTTGCTCATCAAACCTGAAGGCATAACACAAAACATATAAGAAACTTTACTTGAGAAACTATTTTTATTTCGACGCGTATTGAGCGCCATCTCTCGAGGCCTACAATAAAATGACAATATGGCGGCTAATTTGAAAGTCGAGAATTCCAACAATGACACGAGATGCTATTTCAGACATTGTTTCTTATTTATGGTTGCTGATAATAGACTATAGTCACTTTCAATTCATTTTGGCTAGTCAGAAGCAATTGTTTATTATATATGTAAATTTTTACTAATAAGAATAATAATCGAAACAAAATTGAACCAATTTAATTTTATACGTAATTTTCGTAACACTATTACTTTGCTGGAAACTATTTTAATTTCGACGCGTATTGAGCGCCATCTCTCGGGGCCTAAAATAACATGACAACATGGCGGCTAATTTGAAAGTCGAGAATTCCAACAATGACACGAGATGCTATTTTAGACATTGTTTCTTATTTATGGTTGCTGATAATAGACTATAGTCATTTTCCATTCATTTTGGCTAGTCAAAACCAATTGTTTATTATATATATATATATATAAATTTGTACTAATAAGAATAGTAATCAAAACTTTTTGCAACACTTTGCTTGAAACTAGTTTTATTTGGACGCGTATTCAGCGCCATCTCTCGGAGCCTAAAGTAAAATGACAAAATGGCGGCTAATTTGAAAGTCGAGAATCGCGATTGCAATTCTAATAATGACACGAGTTATTTTAGACATTGTTTCTTATTTATGGTTGCTGATAATAGACTATAGTCACTTTCAATTCATTTTGGCTAGTCAGAACCAATTGTTTATTATATATATATATATATATAAATTTGTACTAATAAGAATAGTAATCAAAACTTTTTGCAACACTGCTTGAAACTAGTTTTATTTGGACGCGTATTCAGCGCCATCTCTCGGAGCCTAAAGTAAAATGACAAAATGGCGGCAAATTTGAAAGTCGAGAATCGCGATTGCAATTCTAATAATGACACGAGTTATTTTAGACATTGTTTCTTATTTATTGTTGCTGATAATAGACTATAATCACTTTCAATCCATTTTGACTAGTCAGAACCAATTGTTTATTATATATATATATATATAAATTTGTACTAATAAGAATAGTAATCAAAACTTTTTGCAACACTTTGCTTGAAACTAGTTTTATTTGGACGCGTATTCAGCGCCATCTCTCGGAGCCTAAAGTAAAATGACAAAATGGCGGCAAATTTGAAAGTCGAGAATCGCGATTGCAATTCTAATAATGACACGAGTTATTTTAGACATTGTTTCTTATTTATGGTTGCTGATAATAGACTATAGTCATTTTCCATTCATTTTGGCTAGTCAAAACCAATTGTTTATTATATATATATATATAAATTTGTACTAATAAGAATAGTAATCAAAACTTTTTGCAACACTTTGCTTGAAACTAGTTTTATTTGGACGCGTATTCAGCGCCATCTCTCGGAGCCTAAAGTAAAATGACAAAATGGCGGCTAATTTGAAAGTCGAGAATCGCGATTGCAATTCTAATAATGACACGAGTTATTTTAGACATTGTTTCTTATTTATGGTTGCTGATAATAGACTATAGTCACTTTCAATTCATTTTGACTAGTCAAAACCAATTGTTTATTATATATATATATATATAAATTTGTACTAATAAGAATAGTAATCAAAACTTTTTGCAACACTTTGCTTGAAACTAGTTTTATTTGGACGCGTATTCAGCGCCATCTCTCGGAGCCTAAAGTAAAATGACAAAATGGCGGCTAATTTGAAAGTCGAGAATCGCGATTGCAATTCTAATAATTCTAATAACACTATTACTCGTGTATAAGAATGATCTTCATATACAATTTAAAGTACCATATTTAGCTATATTTATTGATCTAAATTCGTATAGATAATTGATACTAATATTCGAGAATCAATCTTGCACATCTCCAAATGATAACGGATGAACTAAATTATCTAATTTTAATTTTATAACCTGCAAATCTCAAAATGATAATAGATGAACTAAACGATCTAATTTTAATTTTAATAACCTGCAAATCTTTCTTATGTTTAGTCGATCGAAGAAGTATATGTGGACCATATGAACACCGTGCGTTCGCCGCAGCCATCGTTGACATTTATCATTAAAACGTCGTCGAGGTTATATCACTTAATGGCGCCGAGTGCAGAGGCTATGCGTATCTGGGTGGACGTTGTTTTCACCGGGGCTGAAGGATACCACGAGTTCGATCACGGCATCTGATCGATCGATCCTTCTCACGTTTCTGGTCAAGAATCGTTTTTTAATGAAACACGATCCAACGTGAACTCTCGCCCGCAACAGGCCGGGGAAAAATGAGCGTGATTTACTCGAGGACAAGGTTAATCGGTCAAAATACGATTGCCATGTTTGATGTTGTATTTAAATTGCATCGACGCTCGATTACTTGTTTAAGTAGCCTGCATGGAAATTGAAAATCAAATTTTAGCGTTAATGGAACCGTAATATTCGAAGTAGTATGCCATTGAGAACAACGATAAGTGTTTTTAGGTTATAATCCGATACAAGGGCCCGGGAATGAACGATAAAAGACGATAAAACTTCCCCGGACGACTTTGCACGATCTTTAGAAAGTAATTGAGAATTTTATGCGAATGTTTGATTTACTCGTGCCAATAAGTTTAAGAACAGGGGCATTAACGTCGTGCAAAAGTATTATCCATTCGAGTGCAGACTAATCACGGACTTCGTTCTATTTAAAGGAAATGAATTTTATAGAATTTACTGTTGAAGTTTGTAGACATTTTTAATCTAGTCTTCCAACATAGATACTTTCAAGAACGCGTTGAAAAATGGTCTTCGATAGCCGGCCATGTGTTCTGGAATTGAGCAGAGGTCAGGTCCCCCCCCCAAAAAAAAAAAAAAACTGTAAATACGTCCCACGTTATACATTTAATTCGACACTTTTAGTGGATATTTTGATACTGCGTAATAACCAAGAATTAAGAAATCCTCCGTGTCTTTATACGTCCGAAGGAATTTTTAAAACATACGTACATGGTTTTTGTAATTTTGATACTTTACGTATTGTTACAACGGGTAAGTAAACACGTATTAAAATATTACACGAACAATTGTAATTCTTTGACTAAATTTTAAGTCGAGAAATATCTTTGATTAACGTAAAGATAGCTGGATATCCTGCGTAATTTGTAACAGAGCCGCAGTTCTGTAAGTAAATCGTTCAATAACCTTTCTTACGTATCGACCATGACCGCTGTTAATTTCTTAATATTATACGGTTTGCAACAATGAATCGCAATGTCAATTTTAAACAATGAACATATATATCGTACGATTGGATCGATCTTATTAAAATTAAATTATAAATTGTATCACATATCGTGCGTACATATTTTTGGATATATTTACAAAAGATATTAAAATGCTCTTTATTAAGAAACTATACACCCTATTAACGAATGTATAAATTAGTATTTTAGAGGTACGTGTCTTGTATAATAAAACAAACATACAATATTTACAAGAACCTTAATTTCTCATTAATATTTTCAAATATTTTTCATTACGATCTTTTTAATGCGCAGAGTGTTGGTCGAGGTTAACTTTACGACAACTATTGTATTTTTAACAGATCTCTACCAATCTGAAGGTATAGAATCTCGCTGTAATGGTAATGCCATAATTTCCTTACACTCTATACTATTTAAGACGTATAAGAGATGCAATGATCGTCTCTGAAATCTAAGGGCATACGTCAAATTTCATAAGAAGAATATTCTGTTCGTAATTAGATAAAATGCAAAAATTAACGTAATTTCTAATGTTACAAGACTTCGGAACGATTAACATTGACGTATCTCTATTTCCATGATCGAATACTAATAGTTTTATTAATTCGAACAGTAAACAAAACTTCTCTCATTCGTAGCAAATAATAGTTAATTTACTGAACGCTTCTAAACAAATTTAATGATTTTTTAAAAGAGAAATACATATTTCGATGTTATTTGTTCGTAAGTCTTGTAACTTTAGGAGACGATATTTCCTAAACAAGATATTTGCTAACGTAATTCCACAGGACTAATTTATTTGCTCGATAGTCCTATATACATATGTATAAACCTCAAATCTGGACATTTAAATCTGAAACATCCTTCGAAAGGTTACGTAAACTCCCATTCATCGTTGAACAAAGAATATGGTAACTATAAGTACACATTACGAAAGCTATAGTGACAAAGTGAGACGATTGCATGGCGATCAATTCTTGTTAAATAAAAATTCATTTTGTGCCTCCGTATAAAAATAAATATAAATACTATGAATGCAATGTTTGGTTTATTCGTAAAGAAATACTGTATGGACATTAATAATTGAAAATTTCGGTGCTATACTGATAGTATCTCTTTGAAACTATTATCCGAAAGAGTGAAAAGCATTATCATTCTTGCTGATTATTATTTGTATTCTTTTTTGTTGTACATATGATATTTATCGCCCTGCATCTTGCACGACATTCTTACAAACAAAATTAAAGAAAAAATACTTATTTTTTAGTTTAACGAGAATCGACACGAACTCGAGGACCAGTCTGTTTAAGTTCCACGTTCCCTTTAATACGTTTCCATCCTTTAAAAGGTAATATTTTTTAGAATTACTAAGTATAATCATTGAGATCTGTAGATCACTTAAGTGGGGAATCTAACTAGGATCTAGGGACCATAATCTAGAATTATCAGGCTTCCCAACAATTTTCGTACCATCAAGCCAGCCAACTTTGCCAAAGTTCTCCTCACTAGGCTAAAAACACTAACTGAATCAGCATAGTTTGTATCTATAATTAATGTTCAATGTTCACCAATTTTCATGGCAACACGGAACATAAATATGTATATTAGCGAGTATCTCGAAAAGGAAATAATAGAAATGATGAATTATTAAATTAAATCGAAATATTATTGTCATTAAAGAATTATATCAGGTTTATGTTACTATCGCAAGAAGTTACTATTAACTTCTTACCTGAAATAGAATTCAAATTTCCCTCCGCAAGAAGTTACTATTAAGTTCTTACCTGAAATAGAATTCAAATTTCCCTCCAAATTTCCCTCCGCAAGAAGTTACTATTAAATTCTTACCTGAAATAGAATTGAAATTTCTTGAAAAGGAAATAATAGAAATGATGAATTATTAAATTAAATCGAAATATTATTGTCATTAAAGAATTATATCAGGTTTATGTTACTATCGCAAGAAGTTACTATTAACTTCTTACCTGAAATAGAATTCAAATTTCCCTCCGCAAGAAGTTACTATTAAGTTCTTACCTGAAATAGAATTCAAATTTCCCTCCAAATTTCCCTCCGCAAGAAGTTACTATTAAATTCTTACCTGAAATAGAATTGAAATTTCTTGAAAAGGAAATAATAGAAATGATGAATTATTAAATTAAATCGAAATATTATTGTCATTAAAGAATTATATCAGGTTTATGTTACTATCGCAAGAAGTTACTATTAACTTCTTACCTGAAATAGAATTCAAATTTCCCTCCGCAAGAAGTTACTATTAAGTTCTTACCTGAAACAGAATTCAAATTTCCCTCCAAATTTCCCTCCGCAAGAAGTTACTATTAAATTCTTACCTGAAATAGAATTGAAATTTCTTGAAAAGGAAATAATAGAAATGATGAATTATTAAATTAAATCGAAATATTATTGTCATTAAAGAATTATATCAGGTTTATGTTACTATCGCAAGAAGTTACTATTAACTTCTTACCTGAAATAGAATTCAAATTTCCCTCCGCAAGAAGTTACTATTAAGTTCTTACCTGAAATAGAATTCAAATTTCCCTCCAAATTTCCCTCCGCAAGAAGTTACTATTAAATTCTTACCTGAAATAGAATTGAAATTTCTTGAAAAGGAAATAATAGAAATGATGAATTATTAAATTAAATCGAAATATTATTGTCATTAAAGAATTATATCAGGTTTATGTTACTATCGCAAGAAATTACTATTAACTTCTTACCTGAAATAGAATTCAAATTTCCCTCCGCAAGAAGTTACTATTAAGTTCTTACCTGAAACAGAATTCAAATTTCCCTCCAAATTTCCCTCCGCAAGAAGTTACTATTAAATTCTTACCTGAAATAGAATTGAAATTTCTCGAAAAGGAAATAATAGAAATGATGAATTATTAAATTAAATCGAAATATTATTGTCATTAAAGAATTATATCAGGTTTATGTTACTATCGCAAGAAGTTACTATTAACTTCTTACCTGAAATAGAATTCAAATTTCCCTCCGCAAGAAGTTACTATTAAGTTCTTACCTGAAATAGAATTCAAATTTCCCTCCAAATTTCCCTCCGCAAGAAGTTACTATTAAATTCTTACCTGAAATAGAATTGAAATTTCTCGAAAAGGAAATAATAGAAATGATGAATTATTAAATTAAATCGAAATATTATTGTCATTAAAGAATTATATCAGGTTTATGTTACTATCGCAAGAAGTTACTATTAACTTCTTACCTGAAATAGAATTCAAATTTCCCTCCGCAAGAAGTTACTATTAAGTTCTTACCTGAAATAGAATTCAAATTTCCCTCCAAATTTCCCTCCGCAAGAAGTTACTATTAAATTCTTACCTGAAATAGAATTGAAATTTCTCGAAAAGGAAATAATAGAAATGATGAATTATTAAATTAAATCGAAATATTATTGTCATTAAAGAATTATATCAGGTTTATGTTACTATCGCAAGAAGTTACTATTAACTTCTTACCTGAAATAGAATTCAAATTTCCCTCCGCAAGAAGTTACTATTAAGTTCTTACCTGAAACAGAATTCAAATTTCCCTCCAAATTTCCCACCGCAAGAAGTTACTATTAAATTCTTACCTGAAATAGAATTGAAATTTCTTGAAAAGGAAATAATAGAAATGATGAATTATTAAATTAAATCGAAATATTATTGTCATTAAAGAATTATATCAGGTTTATGTTACTATCGCAAGAAATTACTATTAACTTCTTACCTGAAATAGAATTCAAATTTCCCTCCGCAAGAAGTTACTATTAAGTTCTTACCTGAAATAGAATTCAAATTTCCCTCCAAATTTCCCTCCGCAAGAAGTTACTATTAAATTCTTACCTGAAATAGAATTGAAATTTCTTGAAAAGGAAATAATAGAAATGATGAATTATTAAATTAAATCGAAATATTATTGTCATTAAAGAATCATATCAGGTTTATGTTACTATCGCAAGAAGTTACTATTAACTTCTTACCTGAAATAGAATTCAAATTTCCCTCCGCAAGAAGTTACTATTAAGTTCTTACCTGAAACAGAATTCAAATTTCCCTCCAAATTTCCCACCGCAAGAAGTTACTATTAAATTCTTACCTGAAATAGAATTGAAATTTCTTGAAAAGGAAATAATAGAAATGATGAATTATTAAATTAAATCGAAATATTATTGTCATTAAAGAATTATATCAGGTTTATGTTACTATCGCAAGAAGTTACTATTAACTTCTTACCTGAAATAGAATTCAAATTTCCCTCCGCAAGAAGTTACTATTAAGTTCTTACCTGAAATAGAATTCAAATTTCCCTCCAAATTTCCCTCCGCAAGAAGTTACTATTAAATTCTTACCTGAAATAGAATTGAAATTTCTCGAAAAGGAAATAATAGAAATGATGAATTATTAAATTAAATCGAAATATTATTGTCATTAAAGAATTATATCAGGTTTATGTTACTATCGCAAGAAGTTACTATTAACTTCTTACCTGAAATAGAATTCAAATTTCCCTCCGCAAGAAGTTACTATTAAGTTCTTACCTGAAATAGAATTCAAATTTCCCTCCAAATTTCCCTCCGCAAGAAGTTACTATTAATTCTTACCTGAAATAGAATTGAAATTTCTCGAAAAGGAAATAATAGAAATGATGAATTATTAAATTAAATCGAAATATTATTGTCATTAAAGAATTATATCAGGTTTATGTTACTATCGCAAGAAGTTACTATTAACTTCTTACCTGAAATAGAATTCAAATTTCCCTCCGCAAGAAGTTACTATTAAGTTCTTACCTGAAACAGAATTCAAATTTCCCTCCAAATTTCCCACCGCAAGAAGTTACTATTAAATTCTTACCTGAAATAGAATTGAAATTTCTTGAAAAGGAAATAATAGAAATGATGAATTATTAAATTAAATCGAAATATTATTGTCATTAAAGAATTATATCAGGTTTATGTTACTATCGCAAGAAATTACTATTAACTTCTTACCTGAAATAGAATTCAAATTTCCCTCCGCAAGAAGTTACTATTAAGTTCTTACCTGAAATAGAATTCAAATTTCCCTCCAAATTTCCCTCCGCAAGAAGTTACTATTAAATTCTTACCTGAAATAGAATTGAAATTTCTTGAAAAGGAAATAATAGAAATGATGAATTATTAAATTAAATCGAAATATTATTGTCATTAAAGAATCATATCAGGTTTATGTTACTATCGCAAGAAGTTACTATTAACTTCTTACCTGAAATAGAATTCAAATTTCCCTCCGCAAGAAGTTACTATTAAGTTCTTACCTGAAACAGAATTCAAATTTCCCTCCAAATTTCCCACCGCAAGAAGTTACTATTAAATTCTTACCTGAAATAGAATTGAAATTTCTTGAAAAGGAAATAATAGAAATGATGAATTATTAAATTAAATCGAAATATTATTGTCATTAAAGAATTATATCAGGTTTATGTTACTATCGCAAGAAGTTACTATTAACTTCTTACCTGAAATAGAATTCAAATTTCCCTCCGCAAGAAGTTACTATTAAGTTCTTACCTGAAATAGAATTCAAATTTCCCTCCAAATTTCCCTCCGCAAGAAGTTACTATTAAATTCTTACCTGAAATAGAATTGAAATTTCTCGAAAAGGAAATAATAGAAATGATGAATTATTAAATTAAATCGAAATATTATTGTCATTAAAGAATTATATCAGGTTTATGTTACTATCGCAAGAAGTTACTATTAACTTCTTACCTGAAATAGAATTCAAATTTCCCTCCGCAAGAAGTTACTATTAAGTTCTTACCTGAAATAGAATTCAAATTTCCCTCCAAATTTCCCTCCGCAAGAAGTTACTATTAAATTCTTACCTGAAATAGAATTGAAATTTCTTGAAAAGGAAATAATAGAAATGATGAATTATTAAATTAAATCGAAATATTATTGTCATTAAAGAATTATATCAGGTTTATGTTACTATCGCAAGAAATTACTATTAACTTCTTACCTGAAATAGAATTCAAATTTCCCTCCGCAAGAAGTTACTATTAAGTTCTTACCTGAAATAGAATTCAAATTTCCCTCCAAATTTCCCTCCGCAAGAAGTTACTATTAAATTCTTACCTGAAATAGAATTGAAATTTCTTGAAAAGGAAATAATAGAAATGATGAATTATTAAATTAAATCGAAATATTATTGTCATTAAAGAATTATATCAGGTTTATGTTACTATCGCAAGAAGTTACTATTAACTTCTTACCTGAAATAGAATTCAAATTTCCCTCCGCAAGAAGTTACTATTAAGTTCTTACCTGAAATAGAATTCAAATTTCCCTCCAAATTTCCCTCCGCAAGAAGTTACTATTAAATTCTTACCTGAAATAGAATTGAAATTTCTTGAAAAGGAAATAATAGAAATGATGAATTATTAAATTAAATCGAAATATTATTGTCATTAAAGAATTATATCAGGTTTATGTTACTATCGCAAGAAGTTACTATTAACTTCTTACCTGAAATAGAATTCAAATTTCCCTCCGCAAGAAGTTACTATTAAGTTCTTACCTGAAATAGAATTCAAATTTCCCTCCAAATTTCCCTCCGCAAGAAGTTACTATTAAATTCTTACCTGAAATAGAATTGAAATTTCTCGAAAAGGAAATAATAGAAATGATGAATTATTAAATTAAATCGAAATATTATTGTCATTAAAGAATTATATCAGGTTTATGTTACTATCGCAAGAAGTTACTATTAACTTCTTACCTGAAATAGAATTCAAATTTCCCTCCGCAAGAAGTTACTATTAAGTTCTTACCTGAAATAGAATTCAAATTTCCCTCCAAATTTCCCTCCGCAAGAAGTTACTATTAAATTCTTACCTGAAATAGAATTGAAATTTCTTGAAAAGGAAATAATAGAAATGATGAATTATTAAATTAAATCGAAATATTATTGTCATTAAAGAATTATATCAGGTTTATGTTACTATCGCAAGAAATTACTATTAACTTCTTACCTGAAATAGAATTCAAATTTCCCTCCGCAAGAAGTTACTATTAAGTTCTTACCTGAAATAGAATTCAAATTTCCCTCCAAATTTCCCTCCGCAAGAAGTTACTATTAAATTCTTACCTGAAATAGAATTGAAATTTCTTGAAAAGGAAATAATAGAAATGATGAATTATTAAATTAAATCGAAATATTATTGTCATTAAAGAATTATATCAGGTTTATGTTACTATCGCAAGAAGTTACTATTAACTTCTTACCTGAAATAGAATTCAAATTTCCCTCCGCAAGAAGTTACTATTAAGTTCTTACCTGAAATAGAATTCAAATTTCCCTCCAAATTTCCCTCCGCAAGAAGTTACTATTAAATTCTTACCTGAAATAGAATTGAAATTTCTTGAAAAGGAAATAATAGAAATGATGAATTATTAAATTAAATCGAAATATTATTGTCATTAAAGAATCATATCAGGTTTATGTTACTATCGCAAGAAGTTACTATTAACTTCTCACCTGAAATAGAATTCAAATTTCCAAGAAGTTACTATTAAGTTCTTACCTGAAATAGAATTCAAATTTCCCTCCATCGATACCCCTTTCCACGCGCCACCTTTGACTATTTAGTTCCGTGGCATTCCCAACGGTGGCGCTGCGAAGGAATCAGTAAAATCTTTAGGGAATGCTTGCCCCTTGACTTTGATCGACTCGTAAGGCGGTACCAAAGGCAAAAATGTTGTCGAGATTAGCTTTTCGTAACGGTGAGTTAGAATTATAATTAAAACAAATTCTTGCTGTTTTATTAAAAAAATTTCGTGCTTTAGAAATAATAAATTCCTTGCGATATATCGTAACTGTCATTGTCAAGAACATGTCGGTTATTTTACTGCCATTATGTAATAATACATTGCTCCTATTCGCGAATCCTATTTTACTTGTGAAGTGTGATTAAATACATTTTATCGTCGAAATTTTTGTGCACGTAATATACTTAATTTAAATGCGATTACAAATTTATATACGAAGGTCGGTAATTAATTTTGGATTTTGGTTAATTACGATTGGTTGTAATATCCAGTTCTACGATAGACTTAATTCTTTTTTAAACGTTTTTTTAAATACTTTTTAATTTATTTCATAGCTCAATTAGTCTCCGTAGCCTGTAGAGGGATTCAAACTACAGTACCAACATTATCCGATGGACCGCGTCCAAAACGTCCTGTAGACCCATCTCCGGTTAGGCATGGATTTATTCCGGAGGAATGGTTTACGTTCTTCTACCCTAAAACCGGCGTATCAGGTACGTCAGTAATATATAACCTATAATTTTGCGTATGAAAGACATATAGAATCATACAATGTTATAATATTTATTCAAACGTTATGTTTAGGTCCATACGTATTCTTAGCTACTCTGGGAACTTATTTATTATCCAAGGAGGTGTATATTTTGGAACACGAATTTTACAACGGACTTTCCTTGGCTACCATTTGTATTTTTGGCGTAAAGACATTTGGGCCTAAAGTCGCCAAGTATTTGGATACAAAAGTCGAGGAACAAGAAGCCGAGCTCAATGCCGGAAGAGACGAGGAGATAAATACCCACGAAGATGTAATTAAGACCATGGAAACGGAGAAGTGGCGCAGCGACGCGCAGAAAATGATTTACGATGTGAAAAAACAGAACGTTTTGATGCAGTTGGAGGCCGCTTACAGAGAACGAATGATAGAAGTTTACAACGAGGTTCGTTTCTTAAATTTTAAAACTGCTACAAAGATAAATTAAGGATTGTTCGAGATTTTTGTAACATTTTCTCTACTCGTACTAAATTATTGCGTTCGTGTTGTTTGTAGGTTAAGAAACGCCTCGATTTCCATTCCCAGCTGGATTCTGTGGAACGCAGAATTGCTCAAAAACACATGGTCCAGTGGATTATCAATGGGGTACTGAAAGCCATTACGCCGGAACAAGAAAAAGCTACTCTGCAACAATGTATTAAAGATCTCGAAGCTCTTGCGGTAAAAGCATAAAATTTCATAACTAAGCTATAGACAAAATAGAAAGATTATTATCAAATCTGGATTAGACAACAATATTGAGAGAGAACATTTCATCCGTTGCAATTACTGTGTTGTTTACCAATACATTGTACATTATATAATTACATTTGATTATAAATAAATGTCGCTAAAAAAACAACAAGCAGAGAATTATAATTATAAAAGCATTATAATTCTCTAAATTTTATTAAAAATTTTAGCATGGATGTGCATTAACATTTGATACAAGTTTTGTTTAGTTTTTAAACTGAACTTTTAATATCATAAGACCATGACCAATATTTAACTCTACAATGGCAAGTTATATGTTGCAAAATTCGTTTAATCATATTCTCAAGTCGGGATAAGTGAAAGATAACCTCGTAGTTATATCTATCTTATTCCTAAATAGTCATGTTTTATTTATTGACAGATCTCATCAAAATAATAATGCAGACCGTAACTGAATTCATTGCTAAGTTGGAAATTTAAATATAAAACGAAAGTAATGAAGATTTTTCATATATATAGATTCAAACTTTTAACCATTTAATTCGGGCATCTCGATCGCCATTAACGTTTCAGTATGTTCATTTATAAATAAAACATTTCGTGTATCTGGTTTACTAAAAATATTCTATCGTACATTTATAGTTGTAAAGAAACTGAAGCTTTCGTTTTTAAATTTCGCGCTAATTCTAGTGTCCCCTTACAGTCCCGTGTCTCTCGAGGCCCAGGGAGTTACCTAGGGACAAATCTCAACGGTTGGCATCGGGCGCCAATCGCGCCATCTGCGGGTGTAACTAGGGAGTTACTTCCATGCTCCCCTGCACGAGCATCGAGCAACAAAGCGTTGATATTTTTTTCTACCGTTATATGCTCAGGTTGACCGATAGAGCGCGCCACTGTTGGTTGTCGAAGTGTTGCGTGTTGCCACATCACCACCAAATCAAACCGTACCTGGACGATGTTTCTGTGTAGATTGCGCTGGTGCCGACTATTCCACGATACGTGGAAAGCGTGAGTTTTCTCTGCTCCGATTCAACATGTCAAATTTATCTTGAATTTCTTCACGAGTAATCAACAAAAAAGGGACAAGTTTGCGTGTAGACAGTGTCTGCTTACCGAAGAGGCTCGCCTGGCACGGTATAGACAAAGAAATTTATAGATTTAACGCAATAAACGATCGACACCATGAGCGCAACCCAGGGCCAAGTGAAATCGGGAAACGGAGTAGTAAAACAGGTAATGTACACAAATTCGACATCCGATCCGTCGACGAGGTTATTTCCTATTCAAACGCAAACATGATCTATGTGATTACGTTCATATATAACCTAATATTTTGACGTCCAAGAAATCGTATTCGACTCGGTTGGAGTGAAATATCTGGGCCTAAAAACATATGGTCCTTGCATCAAAGAATTTTCGTTATTTTTCCTAATAATAACATTCGTGAGATTCGATTTAACACGGTATTAACTCTAATCTGGTAAGAAGATTCTTTGGTCTACGTTGGTATATTTCAAAATTTCTAAACTTTCAGTCTTCCATGAAAAGTACGATGTCCCATTGCGTGCGATGTTATCACAAGAAAAGAATAAACGTTTCCGCTTTGTTTTTCAATGCAGATATTTTCATTTCAAGGTTACTTCGGGAGACACTATCGTCATTCGCGGTCAGCCGATGGGTGGCCCCCCGCCTGAAATCACGATAACTCTCTGTAACGTCACCGCTCCAAAATTGGAGCGCTGGAAAGGGAACGATAGGTACGCATATACGATTATTATATGCGTGTAATTCTAAATATACTTCAAAGTCATGTTTTTTTTTTTTATTTGTAGCACGGATGAGAGTAAAGACGAACCATATGCATGGGAAGCTAGAGAATTCTTGCGGAAAAAGCTTATTGGTCTGGATGTGTTTTTTGTTACAGAGAAATCAGTGAACACGAACAGAACTTACGGTACCGTATGGTTAGGAAAAGGTATATCCACTTTGCATAGAAATCTTTTCATTCTTTTCAATCTTTTCTATCGCCAATTTTAATTGCAGACAGAAATGGTGAAAATGTGATCGAAACATTGGTCTCCGAAGGTTTGGTAACCGTAAAAAAAGACACTCGTAATCCCAGCCCCGAACAGTCTCGACTGATCGAGCTAGAAAATACAGCCAAAGCGGCTAAAAAAGGAAAATGGTCGGAGTCACCATCCTCTGAGCACATACGTGATGTGAAATGGACTGTTGACGACCCTCGAAAGCTGGTTGAGAAATTTGGGAAAAAGCCGGTGAAAGCTATCATTGAATTTGTGTTCGATGGTTCTACGGCGAAAGCATTTCTATTACCTGATTTTTACAACGTAATGCTGATGATATCGGGTGTGAGATGTCCTGGTTGGCCAAATGGAAGACGTGAGAATTCAATAGGCGATCCTTATGCAGACGAAGCAAGATACTTTGTGGAATCTCGCTTGCTCCACAGAGACGTTGAAGTAGTGCTCGAATCTGTCAACAATAACAACTTCATCGGCAGCATTCTTCACCCAAAAGGTTAGCGCAATCTAAAACAAACTAAAATGAAATTTCTTTACTCAAATATTAATTTTCTATTTAACAGGAAATATTGCAGAAATTTTATTGAGCGAAGGGTTTGCCAAGTGCCAGGATTGGTCGATCAGCAACAGCAGAGCTGGCGCAGAGAAGCTCTATCTGGCAGAGAAGGCTGCGAAGGAAGCACGATTACGTTTGTGGAAAGATTACAAACCGTCAGGCCCGCAAATAGAATTCACTGGCACGGTTGTTGAAATTGTCAACGCGGATGCTCTGATAATCAGAACGCAAAACGGAGAGAACAAGAAAGTCTTTCTGAGCAGTATTCGACCGCCATCTAGAGAGAAACGAGTAAACGAAGAACCTAACAACACGTCTAGAAAAGATTTCAAACCTCTTTACGACATCCCCTGGATGCTGGAAGCTCGTGAATTTCTGCGTGAAAAGTTTATCAGAAAGAACGTCAAAGTTGTCGTTGATTACACTCAACCAGCTAGGGACAATTTTCCGGAAAAGTTATGTTGCACTGTCACATGTGGTAAAACGTAAGTTCAATTTTTTGTGTTAATTATTGGAATAACTAGTAATTTTTTAATAATTTTTAGAAACATTGCGGAGGCACTGGTTGCACGAGGTTTGGTGAGAGTGATAAAATACAGACAAAATGACGATCAACGTTCGTCTCACTATAATCTGTTGCAAGTGGCTGAAAGTAAAGCAGAGAAATCTCAGCACGGTTTGCATGCGAAGAAAGATATACCTGTGCATAGATTGGTGGACCTTTCCAACGATCCTTCTAAAGCTAAAGCATTTCTGACGTCTCTCAAACGAGCACAAGGAATCAAAGGTGTGGTGGAATTTGTTACGAGTGGTTCTCGTCTGAAACTCTATCTGCCGAAAGAAGATCAGCTTATTACCTTTGTTCTGGCTGGGATACGAACACCTCGGTGTCAAAGATCACTGCCAGGTGGCAGCGTAGTCAAAGCCGATGAGTATGGTGAGAAAGCGTTGGCGTTCACCAGGGAGCATTGCTTCCAAAGGGACGTGGAGATCAAAATCGAAAATACAGAAACGAAAGGAAGCGGATTCATTGGATGGTTAACCGTAAACGATGTAAACATGTCTGTTTCTCTGGTCGAAGAAGGTCTCGCAGAAGTTGTCACTTTCCCTGATTTCGGGGAACTAACAAGGACGCTGAAAGCAGCAGAGGAACGTGCCAAAACGAAGAAGCTAAACGTAAGAAATAGAAATATCATTTGTAAGTAGAATGTATAATTGTTACGTGTTACAGATGTGGAAGAATTTCGTTGAAATACAAGTGGAGAATGACAAGAACGAAAATGACAAAGAAATCGTCGAGAGAAAGGTCGACTACCAAGAGGTAGTGATCTCAGAAGTAACGGAAGACCTTCACTTTTACGTGCAATCTGTTGATCAGCGTAGTATGTTGGAAAACTTGCTTTCCCAGTTACGCCAGGAACTCTCATCCAATCCTCCTCTCCCAGGTGCTTACAAACCCACCAGAGGAGACTTGGCGGTTGCTAAATTCACTGGCGATGATCAGTGGTACCGTGTTAAGATCGAAAAGGTCTCCGGTTCAAATGTAAGCGTATTTTACATTGATTACGGTAACAGAGAAGTGGTTAATGTTGGAAGAGTCGCTGATCTACCATCAAGGTTTGCTACGGATAAACCTTATGCCCATGAACATAGCCTTGCTTGCGTTGCGCTTCCCAACGATGTAAGTATTTAGAATGTTTCTTCATTGAACGCTTTATCTTTAAAGGATTGTAACTATTGTAAATGTTGTGTCGTCAATGTAGAACGATGATAAAAAAGCAGCAGTCGAAGCCTTCAAGGAAGACGTAATGGATAAAATTTTATTACTGAACACGGAGTATAAACTCACCAGTAACGTCACTGCTGTGACATTGGTCGATTCTTCCACCAACGAAGACATTGCGAAAGGTCTCATTTCTGATGGACTATTGCTTGTTCAGAACCAACGTGACAGGAGACTCGCTAAATTGGTAAATCGATTTCTAAACAGTATTGTTATATATATGTAGTTACGTAATAATTTATTTTAGATCGAAGAGTATAAAAAAGCAGAGGAAGATGCGAAACATAGTCGGCGTAATATATGGAGATACGGTGACATACGTGCAGACGATGAGAAAGAATTTGGATTGTAAAAATGCTCAAGGAATGGTTAAAAAGTGATCGATACAGGGAAAAAAGACATCATGTTATAAACTGCATAATAAATATCTAAGAATCTATCCGCGTAGATTAAAAAAAAGAAATTAATAAATGTCCATACGAGAGTTACACAGTTGCATTGGTTATGATGCGATTATATTTCATTATATAAAAAGTATGAATTGTACATAACAATTTCATTGATCTTGTAACTTTTGAACGGAACAGTGGCATAATATATTGCGTAATATATTTTCATCATTCATTATTTCTACAGCGATGTAAAGTTCTTTTATTATCAATGGATTTGAAACAATCGAAACTTTACACGATCTATGTGCAATTTTATTTTGGCTCGTTTACATTCTGAGTCGAGAGGAAAAATAATTTTTGTACGTGTTTTCTCTGTCGCATTTAAACACCACCATATACGAATTATAAAAGTTATTATAAAGCTACCATAACTTTGTACATTTTGTCAAGCGTTACTCATTTAACTTAAGTATGTAAAGAATTCATATCGAGATGGTATATGATATTTTGAATAAAAGTGGCATCAGTAAATCGTAGCTAAAAACAGTTTAGCTATTAAAATACAAATACAGTGTATGTTTGTTACGTGTACATACAAATCGTCATTCAATAAAAATATTCTATAAACAGTTTCGTTATTTCTACTCGATTATTAAATTTATTTTACTTGTTACTGGTGCCGCTTTATTTGCATCAATAGTAGTATTGAACGATCGTGAAAACAATTTTTTTTTTTTAAATTATTGTGTACTAACGAACACTGCAAAAATTAGACATTCATATTTAAATAATTCGTTCTAAAAATATTTAATACGGCGTCGAACTATACTCCATTACTTTAGGTGTCCCAAATGAACGTAAATTTGATATGAAAATTGCCATTTTTAAAAGTAATTACAATCAAAGGAAATTGATGTAATTTAGCGGAGAAGATTAGCATGCAAAAAGTATAATTTTCGAGATATAAATTAAGGATGAAAGAAACAATGAATGTTTATAATCGAATATCTTATAAATATTTATAAATGTTATTAGCTAAAAAAAAAAACGATCAATTAAACGAGCAGCATATTATTGAATTGTTCATTTTCTAATGATGAGTTTAGAGATTTAATGGTGGAAAGAGGCTGAAGTTATTTGAACAATATTTCAGTAATTTTCGGCGAACGAAATGGATGAATATATTGTAAGATTAGGTGATACAGGTAAAAGGTAGATTTGAATTCTTTAACACTACTATATTGTAAACGCTAAGATCGAGAAAAGTTTTTTCCTTGTAAATGTATGGTATCTATTATACTTGGCATATTACGCTGCATATTTCTCTCTTAATAGTATTCAAATCGTCAGATAAAGAATTATATTAAATGTTTACGTCTCTAGAACGAATAGATCTAAATTTTGAAGAACAATTTAGGGTCATAACTTTGTTAAAAGCAAAACTTGCAAATCTTTCAAAGATAAAAGCATCACTGTTTACGTAATTTAGAAATGTGATTGATTTTCTATTTCACGATGACATACAAATAAGTTGTGTGTTGTGTATCGCAAATAAACTGTGAAAATGTTTCATTCGAATTCGATATTATTTTATCGACTGTATATTTTCTTTACTACAACACTTATTGTTGCGATATTGTTTAATTACTGTTGCTTGAAAATGAATAAACAGTTGGGACGGTGAAACCAACTTGCTTGAAAATCTATTATTTTGGAAATATATACAGGGTGTGTTGTTTCGTCTGGAACAAACGGAATGTTTCAAGAAAAGATTATATTTTTACAGAAGCTTGGGCCCAAAGGAGGAAGTGATATTTTTTGGTCGATGGAAGAATGGAGATTTCAAGGTCAAGTTAATATTTTTTAATTGAATATATTTATTTATGATCACGTTTTATTCTTCGTGTGCTCAAATTACAGCCTAAAACTTCGTTTCCGCAATTACAGCCTGGGAACAATTTTAATGGGAGATTTTAGAGGACCAAATTAGACGAAAATTAAGAATTTCAATTTCTTGACTGAGGCTTCATTAAAAAGTTTCAAATCATTCTGGAAAAATTATTATCGGTTGCAGGGGTCAATTACAAGCATTTTTGGTCATTTGACATATCCTCGAATTCCTACCCACTTTCGAGAAAAAAATTCGAGAAGTTATGAAACTTTTCGACAAAATTAGAAAATTGCAAATCGTTCTAAAAAAATTATACATAGTTACAGGGGTCAATTACAAGCATTTTTGGTCATTAGACATATCCTCGAAATCCTACCCAATTTCGAGAAAAAAATTCGAGAAGTTATGAAATTTTTCGAAAAATTTAAAAAATTTCAAATCATACTAAAAAAATTATACATAGTTACAGGGGTCAATTACAAGCATTTTTGGTCATTAGACATATCCTCGAATTCCTACCCACTTTCGAGAAAAAAATTCGAGAAGTTATGAAATTTTTGGACAAAATTGAAAAATTTCAAATCATACTAAAAAAATTATACATAGTTACAGGGGTCAATTACAAGCATTTTTGGTCATTTGACACACCCTCGAAATCCTACCCACTTTCGAGAAAAAAATTCGAGAAGTTATGAAACTTTTCGACAAAATTGAAAAATTTCAAATCATACTAAAAAAATTATACATAGTTACAGGGGTCAATTACAAGCATTTTTGGTCATTAGACATATCCTCGAAATCCTACCCAATTTCGAGAAAAAAATTCGAGAAGTTATGAAACTTTTCGACAAAATTGAAAAATTTCAAATCATACTAAAAAAATTATACATAGTTACAGGGGTCAATTACAAGCATTTTTGGTCATTAGACATATCCTCGAAATCCTACCCAATTTCGAGAAAAAAATTCGAGAAGTTATGAAACTTTTCGACAAAATTGAAAAATTTCAAATCATACTAAAAAAATTATACATAGTTACAGGGGTCAATTACAAGCATTTTTGGTCATTAGACATATCCTCGAATTCCTACCCAATTTCGAGAAAAAAATTCGAGAAGTTATGAAACTTTTCGACAAAATTGAAAAATTTCAAATCATACTAAAAAAATTATACATAGTTACAGGGGTCAATTACAAGCATTTTTGGTCATTTGACACACCCTCGAAATCCTACCCACTTTCGAGAAAAAAATTCGAGAAGTTATGAAATTTTTCGACAAAATTGAAAAATTTCAAATCATACTAAAAAAATTATACATAGTTACAGGGGTCAATTACAAGCATTTTTGGTCATTAAACATACCTTCGAAATTCTACCCACTTTCGAGAAAAAAATTCGAGAAGTTATGAAATTTTTCGACAAAATTGAAAAATTTCAAATCGTTCTGAAAAAATTATTTTCGATTGCGGGGGTCAATTACAATAATTTTTAGTCATTAGACATACCCTCGAAATCCTACCCACTTTCGAGAAAAAAATTCGAGAAGTTATGAAACTTTGACAAAATTAGAAAATTTCAAATCATACTAAAAAAATTATACATAGTCACAGGGGTCAATTACAAGCATTTTTGGTCATTAAACATACCCTCGAAATCCTACCCACTTTCAAGAAAAAAATTCAATATGAAACTTTTTAACGAAGTCTTCATCAACATTTGGTATTCTTGATTTTCGTCTTATTTTGGCCTCTAAAATCTCCCATTAAATTTTTGTCCCAAGGATGGCCGAACACCTTGTATATAATACGTGCAGTTTAAATTTTAAATGATCGGAAGCGGACTGATGATATAAATCGACTCTAAATGTCCATTGCCCGCATAAAAGGACCAACGTCGTCGCCAACTTAACTGCGCTTAACACTTTACCGACCGGTAGCGGTTGATTAATCGCCTATCGGTCGGTAAAGAAGTTGATTAATACGCTATCGGTCGGTAAGCGTTGGCCGGTAAAACAGTCGATTAATAGGCTATCGGTCGGTAATGTGTTAACAGTATAACGTATGCACAGCATCAGACTTTGACGTTGGACACCCTGTACATCTAACTAATAAAAAGGGAGTACTGGGTTGCACAGAATACAAATGAAAATAATTTCTATTAAATAATATGAAAATTTATTCTTACAGATAAAAACGCCAGAGTACTAGTGTACAAGTCAAATATAATTCTCGGTTACAAACGGAGCATTATTTAATATGATGGGAATATACGTCGTGTCTGAGCACTGTACTATCCCAGGAACAAGAAAATAACTGATCCTTGTACCATGAGAGTCCACGAACGAAATCAGTGTGATCCTCATTTTTGTATAATGATGAAAAGTTGTTGTTTACATCAAGTACGTGCACGAAGTTGTCGTCGCAGCAACAGGCTAAATCCTCTGACCTAAGATACAATAATATGGTATAGCATATGTAATTTTCTGGGCTATTAATATTACATTTTCAACTTGTTTATTACCTTTCAGGATTTGGATTGAATAAGAGTTTTTGTACTGGTCTAGGAAATATACATGTTTCTTCCAACACAGAGACACCCGGTTTTCTAATATCCATTAATACAACATCTCCGTTATCAGAACCTATCGCTACAATGTGATCTAAAACGGAATTCCAATTCACCGTTGTCAGACCTATATCTTTCTTTAGAATACCTTAAAAAGAAAATGAAGAAAATATATCCAAGTTACATAAATGAAAATAATTAAATTATCGAATTATGTTATTAATACATACTTTGGGCTGGTTTTGATTGTCTTAGATCCCACATTAATGCCTCGCAATCTAATGACGTTGACACAAATGTTGTGTTGCTCCTAGGTTGTACGTCGACGCAAGTAACTGCATTCTCATGAGCGTACGGAAACGAATACGTCGTAATTAATTCTGTTATGTCCCACACTTTTATACTGCAAGGTAACGAGATTCTGTATCAATAGATTCATATAATTTAGTAATATAAAGCATTTTATATAAATTACCAATAATCCGAGTCACCGGTAACTAAATGTTCGTTATCGTTGAATACAGACAGAGTTACTAGAGCACTGTTATGCGAGGAAGTGAATCCTGAACATTGTAACATCGGAACATGTTTATCGCCAGCCTCGACGAAATTGAACACTTGCAAACATCCGTTATCGTCGGCAACTAGAAATTTATTATGTTCCAAATAAACACCGTCGCAAACACCGCTTTCGGTGTTTGTGGTAACGAGAGCTTTGTCTCTATCAAATTCTGAAATTTGATTGTAATACCAGATACTGCCGCTCCAATGGCGAGATGTCATATTCGTACCCCCAAGAATCGCACTTGTGTCTGTAAGTAAACGAACAAATTAATATTTTTAAGAATATACAAAGAGTGATCTATTTATCAGCTTAAAATATTTTAAAATATTTTACAAGTTTCATTCAACAATTACATAGAATATTTAATCTATATTACCATTATAAATTAAGATGAATTGCAAATTTTTGTCAGAGATAGACAGTCTGTCAGCAGCTGCCATATTTTTATTCATATCTGCGTTTAAATTAGGATCTTTCAAATCATCCATAATAAAGAAATTTTAAGTAGAATCTGTTTCAAACAAAACACAGAATATAAATTTAACAACGGTCATGGATAAATAATAGCTTAGATATCTCCTCGGATTTTAGTAAAAGCGTGTACAGCGCTTCTAGTGGCGATAAACGGAACTAAACAAATGGCGGGAAAGTTAAATTCTGTATTAATCTCCTTTTTGTACGTCTATAGCAAAATGACAAAATGACAAAGTGACAAAATGACAAAATGACAAAATGACAAAATGACAAAATGACAAGATGACAAGATGACAAGATGACAAAATGACAAGATGACAAGATGACAAAATGACAAGATGACAAGATGACAAGATGACAAAATGACAAAATGACAAAATGACAAACTGCCAAAATGACAGAATGACAGAATGACAGAATGACAACATGACAACATGACAAGATGACAAGCTGACAAGATGACAAGATGACAAGATGACAAAATGACAAACTGCCAAACTGCCAAACTGCCAAAATGACAAAATGACAAAATGACAGAATGACAGCATGACAAGATGACAAGATGACAAGATGACAAAATGACAAGATGACAAGATGACAAGATGACAAGATGACAAAATGACAAAATGACAAAATGACAACATGACAAAATGACAAGATGACAAGATGACAAAATGACAAAATGACAAGATGACAAGATGACAAGATGACAAGATGACAAAATGACAAACTGCCAAAATGACAAAATGACAAAATGACAAAATGACAAAATGACAGAATGACAGAATGACAAAATGACAACATGACAAGATGACAAGATGACAAAATGACAAACTGCCAAACTGCCAAAATGACAAAATGACAAAATGACAAAATGACAACATGACAACATGACAAGATGACAAGATGACAAGATGACAAGATGACAAAATGACAAACTGCCAAACTGCCAAAATGACAAAATGACAAAATGACAAAATGACAGAATGACAGAATGACAAAATGACAACATAACAAGATGACAAGATGACAAGATGACAAAATGACAAACTGCCAAACTGCCAAACTGCCAAAATGACAAAATGACAAAATGACAACATGACAACATGACAAGATGACAAGATGACAAGATGACAAAATGACAAAATGACAAGATGACAAGATGACAAAATGACAAAATGACAAGATGACAAGATGACAAGATGACAAAATGACAAAATGACAAACTGCCAAAATGACAAAATGACAAAATGACAAAATGACAAAATGACAAAATGACAACATGACAACATGACAAAATGACAAGATGACAAGATGACAAGATGACAAAATGACAAGATGACAAGATGACAAGATGACAAGATGACAAAATGACAAACTGCCAAACTGCCAAACTGCCAAACTACCAAACTAACAAACTGATTAACTAACAAACTAAACTGACAAACTAACTAATTAACTGTAAACAAAATAACTAACTGTCAAACCAACTAACTGACAAACAAACAAACTAACGGCAAACTAACTAACTAACTGACAAACTAATTAATTTGCTGCAAACTAACCAACTAACTGCAACACCTTTTTAAATTTTTCGTGTCTAGAGTATATTACAATAACAATATTTATTGAAAAAGCTTGTTAAGTAATGTGATATAATCGAAGTGAATCTGGCGCGTCAATAACATCGCGTTACTTCGTATAAGTGTTCTCAAAATGGCGGCACTTTTTTTTACCAACCACCTACAAGTAAGAAATCTAACTAGGAAGATTCCCCTGCAATGTTGCTGCATATTTAAGGAAAATAATGAAAGCAATCGCGTAATATATTCAATCAACGTGCAACGATATCTTTGATAATGCATTCGTCAAATATATAAGTTACATTAGATATACAATCTTATATAGTTATGCTATACAGTATCATAATATTAAAATTTTCAATTTTGTGCACGTCATATCCTCAACAGTGACACGCGTCACTTATATAGAATCATTTGCGCCGATGATCGTGTAAAAGTTCCTATCTCTCTTGGTATTCCGCTCGTTAGAATCTACCGTTCGTATCGCGCGTCTTTTATCGGCGTTCGAAGATTTTCGGGATGTGCAGAAGTAGCGAATATGATTAACGCGGTAACGTCTGTTCGAGACGTAACGGCTATACTCCTGATAATTTTCCTCCGTGACGCATGCGTGTTCGATTCGGAAGAAAAATCAGAATTAGTCCAACGGAATCCCGGAAAGTAGCGAGTGCGAAAACTGTAGTCCCAAATATCGTTTATTCACGCGCTCGAAAAGGTGTTGCGGTTAATCGTTCGTGGTACTCGGTCGACTGCCAAGGCAAGATGGTGAAGCCACAGCAAGTTTTAGATATCAAACCGGAAAACGAACTGCGGTTCACAGGTACACACCAAACGACGAATCATTCTCTCGTACGCATTTCCTTCGCACCTCTTTTTCCCTAACGTCTATCCCGTTTCGAGTTTTGGCTCGATCTATGACAGGGGCAGGCGCATTGTTAAATACAAGCTGCACACGGTCCGCTGCGTTGTCAAGATGACGTAAGGTTGTCTTCGACAGCCAATTTCGTTACACTTTTATTTATCGCTAAATAGAATTATACACGATGATTCAGTGAACATCATCATTCATCGTACCTAACCCCCATTTCTTCTACGTAAATCGTTATCAATTTCTAAGTACAAATCACGATTCAATTCTCATTCTCCCCCCTCGCCTCCCCCTCTCGCTAACAGGTATACAGTGAACATATTCAAAGAGTTGTGTCTTATTTAATTTTTGTACGTTAATGTATGTATATGATATGTATCCTTGTATCTTTATGTTTTTTTAGTTATTTTATGAAATATATTTTTTATAATCACGTATACGTTGGATATTATATTTCTGTTCTTGTTCAAACACCAAAATACCAAAATGTCTACTATGAAGCGGCGCCTGATTCTCTGGGAAAATATAAGAAAAACATTCGGTGTAACATTCTCTCGTTCGGGACTTTGTTTTCGAGAAAGTCAGTTTTTTCATCTTTGTAAACATGTCAGTTTCAAGGTTTCTCGACCTTACGCCTCTCACTTTTTCCCCGTACGAAGATATGTCAAAGAACTTGTTTATAAAGATGACGTTTCAAATATTACTTAATATCAGAGTATGGAGCAGTTCGAGAAATTAAAAATATCATTAATAGAACCTATATATAGTAACGAGGAAGACATTTTCAACGATACTTGTAACACTTTCTAAACACCGTCTTGGACGAACACAACTGCGGTAGAAATATACAAAATTGAACGAACGAGTCAATTTTCTCAGAAACAAATGTTATACCAAGTTTTTTGTTATTTTTTTACGCGTAGAATCGTCCCGTATTAAAAATTCCAGTCCATCCACCGTATATGCTTGAAAGAATACATTGGAAAAGTGTTTTTCAAGGTTTTTTATGCATTGATAAATAAAATATTGAAAATAACTGTTGTCATTATGAAGTTTCGACGATAATTGTTTATAATATAATCTAATACAGTTCTTGATCGTAAAGCGAGTAAATAGTTTCGTTCGTATTGATTTGTTATGCTTATTATGAAGTTTTGATACGAGTTAAGTATTATTCGACGATAATCGTTTATAACATAATCTGATACAGTTCTTGATCGTAAAGCAAGTAAATAGTTTCATTCGTATTGATTCGTTATGCTTATTAAGAAGTTTTTGAATCGTAAAAACTATTTTCCATAGAAAATGTACATATATTTAGTTCGTAAAGCGAACGAGTGAAATATATTACGGAACTAACCGAATTAATATAATGTATTGCAGGCCCGTTCACAGAAAAGACAGTCACATCGTATTTGTCGTTATATAATCCAACGGATCAGAAAGTTTATTTTAAAATAAAGACAACTGCTCCGAGGAGGTACTGTGTACGTCCAAACTGTGGATATATCAAGCCAAAGAAAGATATTCAGATAGCTGGTTAGTCTCGAACATTGAACTTACGATATTCTTGTATTTCGTACGAATAGGAGAATTTAATTGATTAGGTATTCTGTTTTCTAGTGTCTCTTCAACCGTTCGATTACGATCCGACCGAAAAGAATAAACATAAATTTATGGTGCAAGCTTTATTGGCATCAGCGGACGACACTGGCGAGGAATATATTGATATGGTACGTAAAGGCCCAGAGAATCGATTAGATTTTTCTCTCTTAATCTATTACTTATTGTAATTTTAAAGTGGAAAGATCCAAATCCAAAGGAGTTGATGGAATCTAAGTTAAAGTGTGTGTTTGAGAATTCTGTAACTTATACCACGTCTGCAAAAACTGCTGCGAATAAATCCGAAGTGAATACAAATAATGGCAAGAACAAAACAGTTTCCATTAAACAGTTTGTAAAGGTAATGATCAGAATGCAGTTTGTGTCGTTGTGTTATACGAATTGATTGATTACGATGTATTTATTTCGTTAGGATAACGTGGAGGCGGAAGATAAGTTATTAAAAGTAGCACAAGAGGTTAATCAGCTTAGGGTAGAGGAGAGTACTCTTAGGCAGGAAAATCTTCAATTAAAGGTAAGAGATTAATTAATTCATGTGTTAGTTGGTAAATATGTGATATGTTTGATTTTTATCGAAAGTTCGGCGTGGTGATAAATGAATACAGAAATGATTTGTATTTGTAGGAGGATTTAATAAAATTACAAAACGCGGCATCGGGTCACGATGCTAAAGTAGCCGCAGCTATTTTGACCTCGCAAAGTAGTAGCCAATTGTCACAAAATTCAACAAACATCCTCGTTTTCGGTGCCATTGTTATGGTCATAGTAGGATATTTATTGGGAAAAATGTTCTGAGCAGCCATTACCTTACTGCATAACATGGCACATCCCTCTCTTCCCCCCGTGTTTCTTAGCCTGCCTTCTGCAACCATATACCACTTACCGATCGCAGATATCGAAAATCAGTCATCGTATTACGCGGTTGTTCATAATAAATATTATAAACGTGAACATATAGCGGTTTTAATAGAATTATTCGCTGCAAGAGTGTGCTTATACTTTGGTAAAGCGACGAAGAATGTTAAATCCATGAAGTTACGTTCAATTTTAAGTATCGTACATTAACACGAGACACGTGTAATTAAATTTATGTTGCTTCCATTTTTTTTTTTTCTATTGTAAAAGGATTACTCGCTTTACGGGCATGCTTGCGGCTGTGTCTTTGGAACCATGTTGCCACCAAGAAGCCATTCGCACGTAAAAACGTACTGTAATTTTTTAAAATTCGAATTTTAAAAAATTGAAAATTTTTCCCGCGTTTCGACGTGGAATAACGGAATTAATTGAATCGAACGTAACTCTTTGAAATGAGTATACCCCCAGTTAGAGAGAAAGTGAACTCCAAAATATCCGGGAAGAAATTTTTATTTAGTATTCCGAAACGTACTTAACAATCACACATTGTAAGATTGTACATAATGTATTCAATTTAAGATAATGTGTCTAACGTATAGTTAGAAGAGGAGGAGGGGGGGGGGTGGGGGTGGGGGTGGGGGTGGGGGGGCTGGCTGGTTAATAGTGGTTTCTTGTCTCAGAAAATTGGATACGCTGGCTCTATCCATCAGCAATGATTATATCACATAAGGAATTTAATGCATTAAATTTTTTTTTGACGCTTCAGTGTATTTTTATTTCTTTATGTTTGTCTTATAAAAATTCAAAATAAAGATATCTCGGATGTCACGTCGTTTTTTTTTAATATTTTCTACCCGTCTGGCATAAATTTAACTGTTCGAGGTGGTGCATATGGTATACATGGATATCCGCTTGAATATTCATCGTAACAGAGTTTAATCGCTATGTATAGGGGCAAGCTCGTAGGTTGTCACGTCATAAACAATATCGAGCACGTTACGGTTATTGTGCGTACATAAAAACGTTTTATGTATTTGTGCCTTAAAAACAAAGGCGGCAACATAACTTATTCGTGGTGACGTTTCAATGTTCTTAATATCTTCCTCGCTCTGTGTGGCTTCTCTGGCTACTTCCGGTAACGAGAATTAGATTATTATTGTAGTATACGCAGATGTGATTGTTCAAACGGGTCAAATGTAAAAAATATGTAAACATTTCTCGTTTACGGATTACGGATTACGGATTACGGATTGCATTGTTTATTATTTCATACGTTTATTATTAACACATGTACCGAATAGGAATTTTCTATCGTTAGAATATTTCCATCATTCTTCGAGCTTCTGATCCATGTTCTCTTTACATGCCTTTATTGACTATACAGTCGTATTTAAAATGAATGTAAGCTGTCTCAGTAACTTGGTAGAATGATGTTTTTCTCGATAAACGTTATTAAAGCATTTCATCGTTTCACATATCTTTACTAATTATAAAGTGTATATCGCGTGTTTGTAAAATAAACAATCTGAACGAACAATTGTCCAATGTATGCCTAAGGAGCAATTATAAGTTGCTTTTTTTTTTCTGTGTGTTGTTGCAAGAGACACGTTAGGGAAATGATTTGAGAATTCTCCGGTAAATAAATGACACGGCTACCAAAGTAAAAGAAAACATTTCCTAAGTTCCTATTAAACGTTTCGTGACAATGTCCAAGGACAGACTGTAGCGAGTTCTTTTTTTCCACATAATTACCATCAGAACTCTTGAATCATTACGAAGTGCCTCTACGTTTATTATACATTATTACTGTTCCGAGAAAAAAAAAGAACGATCTAGAATTAAACGTCGTTAACGCAGCTCGCAAAAATGGAAAGAAGAGATCGGCCCATTATGTAAATAAAAAAAAAACTATATAAAAGTTGCAGAGAAGCCGCAACTATATGAATAAATATAAAACGTATTAGTGAATATGTTGTAGAATAATTGTTCAATATATACACACACGTACGTACATATATATATGTAGTATATAACTTTCTTACTACATATGTAAAATAAAATTGCGAAACAACCATTAACAGCGTGATAACTTAAAATATCATCAATCAATTTTTATGAAGGTTACTCGATATTGGTATAATATTAGATTTACGTAAATATAGCTACGATCGATTAGCTATTGCGAGATAATTATAACATTTTCTACTTTTTCATTCTCGGGATACGGAATACGCGAATCGAAGTAGTATAGCTCAACGCATAATCAGACTCTCTTCAGTGGATATGAATACTTTCTCTAAACGGTAAGAATTATGAGAAATTCATAATCATCGAGATATTTGATCAAAATTCAAAAGTTCACGCAAGTTTTTTCTGGTAAATTATAATTTATTTCTATAAATAAACATTCTTAACACTAGAAAGACTGAAACTTAGTATATACCTATATTGCCCAAAAGCAGTCAAAATTACTGCACTGTGAAAGACTAACTAATGTGTAAAGAAATTTGTTTAAAGTTAATTTTTAATATTATGTTATAATATTATGAATTTAGGGCGCAGAAATAAAATAAACAACTTGTTAGAACAAGTATCACTGCATAAAGATTCGGATAACAAGTACTACTTTAGCTTATTGAGAAACTGCAATTTATCAATAGGTCTGGGTTAGGTCTGGATTAGATCTGGGTTAGGTCTGGGTTAGGTCTGGATTAGATCTGAGTTAGATCTGGGTTAGGTCTGGATTAGATCTGAGTTAGATCTGGGTTAGGTCTGGATTAGATCTGGGTTAGGTCTGGGTTAGGTCTGGATTAGATCTGGGTTAGGTCTGGGTTAGGTCTGGATTAGATCTGGGTTAGGTCTGGGTTAGGTCTGGGTTAGGTCTGGGTTATGTCTGGATTAGATCTGGGTTAGGTCTGGATTAGATCTGGGTTAGGTCTGGGTTAGGTCTGGATTAGGTCTGGGTTAGGTCTGGGTTAGATCTAGGTTAGGTCTGGGTTAGGTCTGGATTAGATCTGGGTTAGGTCTGGGTTAGGTCTGGATTTATAGATAACCTTATTCCCCCAGGAAATAGATATATTTTGTTTTAAATAGATTTAACCCAGACCTAACCCAGACTTAATTCAGACTTATTCCAGACCTAACCCAGACCTAACCCAGACTTAATTCAGACTTATTCCAGACCTAACCCAGACCTAACCCAGACCTAATCCAGACCTAACCCAGACCTAACCCAGACTTAATTCAGACTTATTCCAGACCTAACCCAGACCTAACCCAGACCTAAACCAGACCTAACCCAGATCTAATTCAGATCTAATCCAGACCTAACCCAGAGCTAACTCAGATCTAATCCAGTCCTAACCCAGACCTAACTCAGATCTAATCCAGACCTAACCCAGACCTAACCCAGACTTAATTCAGACTTATTCCAGACCTAACCCAGACCTAACCCAGACCTAAACCAGACCTAACCCAGATCTAATTCAGATCTAATCCAGACCTAACCCAGAGCTAACTCAGATCTAATCCAGTCCTAACCCAGACCTAACTCAGATCTAACCCAGACCTAACCCAGACTTAATTCAGACTTATTCCAGACCTAACCCAGACCTAACCCAGACCTAAACCAGACCTAACCCAGATCTAATTCAGATCTAACCCAGAGCTAACTCAGATCTAATCCAGACCTAACCCAGACCTAACTCAGATCTAACTCAGATCTAATCCAGACCTAACCCAGATCTAGGGTCTGGGTTAGATCTGGGTTAGGTACGCCCAAATCGACAATTTATCACGTACTTGTATGTTATCATGTGTTGGTAATCGAAAGAAAATGAAATCTGTTATTTCAATAGAGAGTCGAACTGGTCATATAAGAAATTTACTCGATTCAATAATAAGAGTGATTTGATTATTTAAAATTTCCCAAGCAGTCAAAATGACTGCTTTTGACCAATATAGGTATAACACATATACCGGAAATGAAGGAGGGGAGAGGTAACTACAATTATTAATAAACGCATTTATATGTTATGCAAAAAGTCAGAAAATTCTAAGAAATTGTCTCATTATATACATAATTGTTTTTCTAATTGAAATTAAAAAGCAGTCAAAATTACTTCCTCGGGCAATCTAGTGTTAACGAGTATCAACTTTTAGATAGAGGGAATAAGAATATCGAATGCTCATATTTCTATTCTTCGTCCCCTTTATGCGTCACGCGAGGGCTAATAATATTCTCTTTCTCGAAATGAGGTTAGAGTTTGTTATACGATTCTGGTTAAAGTGAGATAATCTATATATTTTCGACTAAAATTCAGCTCCTTCACCGACACGTGACTTTCTTTGATCAGGCTGATCGAACGACACTCGTAGCGAGACGTTCGACAGCGAACTGAAGTCGGATAGAAGTTCGTCAGGTGGGTGGTGCAGATAAATCAGGATCGGGGGTAGTGGTGGGGGGAGAGTGGAGCGGCGGATACAGCGCAGAGCAGCCTGATCAGGGTGGCGGCGGCAGTAGCGACTGGCTATTGATTTCAAGGGCTTCCTTAACCCCCCGCTTTGCCGCCGAGTGCCCGACGGCTTCAGGTCACCCCAAAGGGCTCCTAGTGCCCGCAACTAAAACAATTCCATACGTTTCCCCCTCCATTACGGAGCCAACCTATCCCCGATTTCGATTCACAAACTTCCTAAACACGCAACTCGTAAAACTGTTACTCCCCACTCCTGCCTCCCCCACGGACCAGTTCCTTCGATTATCGCCATTTAAGATTTCACAAACGAACTAAATTCAACGATACGGACGCGAGGCATCGATCAACCTATATTCCTTCCGAATCTTTAAAGCATAGGATTCCGTGCAAGGTTCAAAATCGGTTAAAAATGGTAAAGAGGGTTGAAGAAGAAACGGGGGAGATTTCTTCAAAATTTCGCGGTTAAATGTGCGTTGAGGGGTAGAACGGAGGGAGGGGGGATGGAGACCGTGAGTAGGGGTGACGGGGATCCTGGGTAGGCAGGCGCCCGTGGTAGTTACGGTACTGCGCGAGTCGGGCCGAGCGCAGACGGATCGCAGGGTGAGCCGTCGCTCGGCATACGTCGAACTAGGTGCCCTGCGTTTGGGGCGTCTCCTGCCATCGAGCATCGGGGTGTCGTGCAGTCGATCCGGGGGGGACGACCACCGCCTTCTTCGAGTTAGTTCCGGAACAGAAGAGAATTGGATCGGAACGTATTTGTTTTTTATTCCCCCGAACGGTGCGTCGTAGCAGACACGGTCGACGACGATGAGACAACGACGATGGTACTCGTGGTAGCGCGACCACAGTGCATCGTGGCCAGTGCGGGCGTAGGCGTCGATTGTGCACGCGATCGGACGAGCAAGGAGATGGTGTCCCCGGATCTAACGGGGGAAAGTGACTTGGTTGCTAATACCAACGCTATCAGTGCCGCGTCCGCGTACAACGTCCCTCACGTTGTCACCGTCACCGTCACCGTTCCTACCATCATCGCCGCTGCTGCCGCTAATATCACTGCCGCCACCGCCGTGAACGATCCCGCCACTGCCAATACCGTCATCGACACCGCGACCATGATCACCCTACAGCGCTACTCGGATGGTTTAACGTCCAACGGTGAGTTCATTTCTAATTTCTTTCCCCCCCCCCCCATCCAACTCGCCCTTTCATCTTCGTCGGGGAAACGCGTTTACCCCGAAGGAACAGAAAGAGAAAGAGGGTGATAGGGGGCACCAGTGAGAAAGAGAGAGAAGAGGGAAGGGTGGGAATGGACGAAAAAGAGAGATACGCGATAGTCGCGAAAGGATCTAATTCCGTGAATATTATTCCATATTTCGACTCTACATAACCTCCGTCAATCGATAGTACGAGACGAGGGCACCCGCGGCGCTCGGGAAGATCGGCCTAGGAACGAACACGGCCCCCCACGTTCCTCGAATTAACCGTCGACGTAGGACCGATACGCGCCAATAGGGGGCCTCGTTTCGTCAACGATCGCGCAATTTCGATTTTCGTGCCCCGTTGCACGCTTTATCGCACGGAATAACCGTTGGGTCTTTGGCGGTTTATGACACGGCTTCAACCTCGCCCATGTTAATTGTCCGTGGATCGATTTTCCTGGAAACGATTACGCGGCCTCGGTTCGATCCTGTTCGTGTTGGTTCGCGAAACATAGGCGGGCAAGGTAAGATAACCGAGACAAGACCAAGAAAGTCTAAGTCTAAGTCTCTGGCCCCCGGATATAGCCGACTTCAGTCGCGGCGCCATTTGCCCGAGACTCGTTCCCAGAATGCACCACATACGTGGACACGCGTTGCGCGAGGCGTATGAATGAATGCTGGTGAATAAAGTAAGTAGGTTAACGAGAGATCGCGTGGTTCCGAAACGCGATTGCTTCGTTTCCGTTCGTCCTCTTTGGAACGTTCGCCACTTCGAAACGCAACGTGTTTCTCCGGGATTCCGTCCGCGTACGAGCTTGGAAACCGCGCCTATTGTCGTTCTGTTATCTCAACGCGAGCTATAATACTCCATGCCCGGGAATAATCATACGTATCTGGTTTCTGTTCGAATCGATGCGATTGTGTTGCTTGGAAATGCAGCCGTTTGTGTTCGTTACGCGCCGCCACCGAACTCGAGGAAAGAAACGCCTGGTTTTAGCCAGTTTTAACCCTTTGCCCATCAATATATACGAAAAGCGTAAATTTACGCCATTTGCATTTTTTTTTTTACTATAACACCTTTTACTGTTTTACCGATTGATTCGATATGGAATTGGATGTTTTAATTTATTTGCATTTATTAGTTTTTTGAACCGTAAGAATGGTCTCTTGAATCGCCGGGTACTTTTTTGGTCACCAGCCGCAGCGATAGGCATATGCGACGATCGCGCCATCTATGTTGATGGATTCTTCCTAGGACGCGGCGCAGTCAAAAGGTTAAGGTATTCCTCGTTATTAGATAACGATCGTGAACTCGTGGCTTCCTTTCGCCGCGTGCAACCGTCACGAATTATCGTTTTACGCGTTTGCGGATCTTTCCTCGGATTTCCACTGCAAGGTTGGCACCACTGGCGTTTGGTAGTGGTGCATTATATGTATATGTATTCACGGAGCTCAACGCAAATTCAAATTCTTTTAAAGTCTTTTTGGTCTTATTTTATCGAAACAATAAAATAGGAAAATTACACAATATTTTTACTATTTTACTTGAAAATCTTGTAATTAATTTTACTTTCTATTAACCACGCGATAGGCGTTTGTTCAAACAATTAGACTTGTCTTCGCGTGCCGAATTTTATAATTGCAAGCTAAACTTTATTTCTTTAATTAAGCTTTTACTAATTAAAGAGAAAGCTATCTCTTAATCTGAAATTAATTAATATTGTAAGTCCAGGATATGACTGTACTTAAGTTTTCTTATCCAAGAGAATTTTTAATATAATTTTTAATTTTTTTTTAAGCACAGATAATTAACGTTCTGTTGATACGTTTTTGTAATAAGAATTGATGACAAAAACTTTTTAATTATTTTCACACCAAGAAAAGTATAAAATGGATGATTTTAATTTTCATTGGGTGTTGTGATAGAACTTTTGAGATTCTAATTACATTATTATATTTCTTTGTAATTTTTTTCGTGATACTTGTGATTTTAAATTGTTTAAAAATGAGACAATAGTAAACATAAATAATGTTTATTGTAATTCTATGCACTGGTTGCGAGCAATACTTTGAATTGTAATAATTTCTTTTATTTCAAACCTACTCGAATTTTTTTCTAGAAAGTGGGTAGGATTTCGGGGATATGTGTATTCACCAAAAATGATTGTACTTGACCCCTGTAGCCAAAAATATTTTTTCCAGACCGATTTGAAATTTTTTTTTTTCATTGAAAATTTAGGCATCCCTACCTTACCGATTTCCCACAAAAATTCAATTCTTCCTTTTTAATCAATTTGGTTGGCGCTGTATAGAAAAGTTTTTTAATACTTTTTTGCAGGTATCCATGAACTCTAGTCCCCCCAAAAATTTCAATAAAATATATTCACTATTGTAGGAGTTATGGCTGTTTGAAAATTGGTCCAGTTTTTTTAATTTTACGGAGTGAAGGAATAACTTTTCGAATATTTTTGGAACTTCCACATATTCTTCGCCCAAATACGCGTTGTTTGCATTTTGAAACATTAGAATCGTCCAATCCGATCGGGAGTTATGACATTTTAAAGATTCGCATTTTCAGGGAAGCCCCACATTAGATTTTCGGGAAGGAATTTTTTTCTCGAAAGTGGATAGGATTTCGGGGGTACCTGTAATGACCAAAAATGATTGTAATAGACCCTAGCAATTGAAAATAATTTTTTTAGAACGATTTGAAAAATTTTAATTTCACCGAAAAATTCCTCCACTTACTGAATTTTTTTCTTGAAAATGCGTAGGATTTTTGGGGTACCTGTAATGACCAAAAATTATGGTAATAGACCCCTGCAATAGAAAATAATTTTTTTAGAACGATTTGAAAAATTTTGATTTCACCGAAAAATTCCTCCACTTTCTGAATTTTTTTCTCAAAAATGAGTAGGATTTCTGGGGTATGTCTATTCACCAAAAATGATTGTAATAGACCCCCGCAACTGAAAATAATTTTTCCAGAATAATTTGAAACTTTTCAATTTCGCCAAAAAAGTCAGGCATCTACTCGAATTTTTTTCTCAAAAATGCATAGGATTTCGGGGGTACCTGTGATGATCAAAAATGATTGTAATAGACCCCTGCATTTGAAAATATTTTTTCCAGAACGATTTGAAATTTTGTAATTTTCCCAAAAAATTCCTCCACTTACTGAATTTTTTTCTCGAAAATGCGTAGGATTTCGCGGGTACCTGTAATGACCAAAAATGATTGCAATCGACCCCTGTAATTGAAAATAATTTTTTTAGAACGATTTGAAAAATTTTAATTTCACCGAAAAATTCCTCCACTTTCTGAATTTTTTTCTCAAAAATGCGTAGGATTTCTGGGGTATGTCTATTCACCAAAAATGATTGTAATCGACCCCCGCAACTAAAAATAATTTTTCCGGAATGATTTGAAAGTTTTGAATTTAATTTTTTAATAACTTATTAAATTACCTAATTTATTATTTTAATGTTACAAATGGTTAAAAGATTGTTATCGAGGATGTTTTCGATGTCACTAAACCTTAACTTTCGCGATATCGTGCATTTTTCTTTATTTTGTCTTTTCAGTTTAGAAATTATTACTACGCTTCTAAAATGTGACGATAAGAATCGTTCTTTACCTTTATGGAAGCGCTTTTCAATAGCGGAGAGAGATATTTTCGAAAGAAACGCTCTGTTCGGATAACAAGACGTTCGAATAGGGGAATATTCGTATAATAGAGCATTCAGATGACGGAGGATCGAATAATGAATGTTATATCGTATTCAGAATATGAATCCTCGTCCTCAAAACGCCCGTGGGGCATCTCGTGGGTTCTAATACACCAAATACTTTCTTTTTCTCAGTTTTTTTTTATAACTATAACGACAAAACCAACAAACACACTCATTGGTATTAGATAATCCTATAAATTCTTAGTAATAAAGGAACTTAGTAGGAGAAAAACGAAATTTATAGGTTAGGACTATGTTTGATACTTAAAAAATATTAAAATCAACGATGGTAAAAAATTGGGGGGAGAAAATGGAAAAAATTGTATCTGATAGCTTTCTTGAGGCAACAAAGGTATTTTATTTATTAATTTTCATACAAAATAGAATTGGGTGCAAGTTTCACTCATTCGACTGTCGCGCCACCTACCGTACAGAAACGAAAACATAAAAACGTAAGAGCTCACGAATTCTTTCGAATGGCGCGAAATTTTGAACATTCCAACAGCATCGAAACGTCGAAATACTCTTTATACTAGTTTACGAAGACCAGTTTACCTTATTAATCATATAACAATAGAAAAAATAACTTTTTCTAGGTTATTTAATAATTAGGGGCGAGGAATTGATTTTAAGCTCGATACTTCGTGATAGTTGCAATTGGGTTGTTCAAATTTCTAGATCCTCTGTGTCTTAGCTTTAATTGATATACTATGCCTTTTATTTTTCTGTTAAAATTGTATTGAGGGGTTGGTTGATAAAAATTTTTCATTAAATTGTGTATTTTGTCTTGTTGAACAATTTTTATATTGCAAGAAAGTTGTGATTGTTCAAAGTCTGTAACATAAATCCACAAGAACATTGTTTCAATATCTAACAGATCAAAATTGAATTTTTGCTTGTTTAAGTTGGTAGAACAATGAAGATTAGTGGACCTGTCGGTTAACCCTGTCTTGCAGAGAATTTGCAACGACAGGACAGAGCTTCTTATCCCTGGGCTTTTTGTTCGTCGATAAAAGCCTAGTGCACGTGTACATACTGCCATGCATACGTAAAGTGCATACTCGTTACCTGCATATGCACGTACGTTCAGGTCCCAGCGCCGCGCTAAGTGCAGAGAACGCGTACGATAAAACGTGTATACTTTCCTGATTAGTTTAACACTAGATTGCCCAAGGAAGTCATTTTGACTGCTTTTTAATTTCAATTAGAAAAACAATTATGTATA